AATACTGCCGAGACGTCAGCTACTGTTGTATTGTGTCTTTTGTATGGAACTAAATGTATGCTGTGTGACAACCTCGCGATTGCTGAACAAGAAAACGAAGCGTTCAAATGTTGTTTTTGGGCTAAAGACTTTGATGCATACGTGGGTTACGCGACTTTTTTTGGTTAGAGCGCTGAACCACCACAAATTTGTTTTCGTGAATTTTTGTCGCAAATGCGATACACATAACTAATTCAGAGACATCGTCCTGTATTGCTGAAGAAGACCCCATTGATATTGGAAAACAGGAGTGCCGATGGAAGAAAATGAAAGGAAGTTACGATTTATGAGCTCCAAAAAAGTCGGAGTTTCATTTTGCTAGAAATAAGAACGCTTCTTTTCTGTAGACAAAAATTTGCAGATTCTAATGAATTGTAATTCAACTAATAGAGTTCGGTATGAGTTGTTCATTGACGAAATTTCTTATATCGTCCTTGAACAACGGATTGTTTGTACGACTGCTGTGGGGACACCTTAGCACCGAAAATGTAAGAATGGTTATAGCTAGAGCAGTTTAATGAACCACCTGAAAATGTGTTGAACAACTTGAAAACATCTTTCACAGATTGGTTACCAGACCTTATCGTTGACTACAAAATTAGACATCGGCAGACCCCTGGAGGAGATGAGTATTTTATAATTTTATGGATACCATTAGTTTTAAAATGCCTTTCTTTCGTGCGAACTCTACGAGCATCTCAATGTTAACTTTTTGATTTACTGCCTACTACTATTTTTCACGGCAAGATAATGTAACAAATAAAATCAAAACCAATGTAATCAGTGTAATCAAGAAGTTAACATTCTGATTTCGACTACAGTTTCATCTTAACTGGGTTCATGGCCGATTTGGGCTCCCCAGATCAGTTCCGTTAACGGGTGATTGCTGATGGCACTGATCAATAGGAAACTAGCTGAGACACAGGCGAAACGAAGGACCTATGGTGGCGAACGCGTTGACTCCCGAAAAGGGAAATAGCGCGTTCGTTCCCCACCGCGGACACCTGCGGTCCAGAATTTTGCAGATATCTCAGGCATCAATGTGGTTATACGAGCATCTGTCACTGTTTGATTTTTTTTCGCCTATGAAATACAAAACCGAAAGGAAAAAAATGATATAGAACTCAGGAATTGGAAGGAAAGTCGCCATCGGTAGGGTCCTAGAGATATTTATATGGCACGGAGTGAAGTTAAAACAAACAGACGCGGATGATGGTACTAACTTGTGTTCGGACCTCGACTAGTGTATAAATGAGAACTTGAGAATTTGATTTGTGAAAGAGCCTTGCCTAGTCCTCTACGGCTTTTCGTATTTTCTTTAGGATAGCTTTTTCTTGCGTATTTGCAGCGAATCTTTAAAAATGGTAGCATTTTTGATTTTATACTGCAACGAAGGCAGCCATCAATACGAACGATGTATGTGGGGTCAACGTCGTGACACTGGACGAAATACTACTTGCACTGTCGTTTCGCTGTTTGAAAAAAGCAAAGAGATAGTTGAACGGGGAATACTACGTCGACAAACCCTGGCAATCGCTCACATGGTTGAATGGTCACTCCTCCCTCACTGGTTGTGCGGACCCAGCATAATCTCCACTTCTTAGGAGATTTGCTGGCTAACCCTTTATGGTTCCCTGGAATCCCGAGGTCAGCTTGGCCAAGTCTGCCCTAGGTCTTCACCACCGAAGGCGGTCGCAACTCTTGTGGATTAGAGGAAGATTTGCCACCGTGCAACTAATTTGATACCAGGACGATGGTGTTTCCTGGTATTGGTTAGGTAAAGTACCATCCAGTAAGCTTTTTAAAGTAATTTCAGCAGTTCTAGACATTCGGTTCTCAGAGTAGAGATATCAAAACGAATTACTACAAAATAGATGAGGACCAAAATAAATTACATGATACCGTTTACTGTATGGCAATAGAATAGTATACTGAGACATGACCGTTGTACGTACAAGTGACCGAGCATATGTGGTAGGCGTGTGCTCGTTACTGTGGTATACGGTAGAAGCAGATGTATATTGCTGATGGTCGTTATGTACGGAACGGATTACAACCAGCTCCAGTCATTAGGCGGATTCGATTACCTAACAGTACACTCCGAGACGTTCGAAAACCCCAACAATTCACACTAGAAGATAGTTGGGACGACTTTCTGCTGTGTTGGTTGTTCACTCTTTCATTTCATTCGGCCGGCAACAGATCACGCACTCAAATTTAGTAAAATCGACTTAAGTTCGAGTGAACTTCATCTATAGCCACATCTTCGTGTGATGCGTTTTTAATAGAAACTGCCGAATTCCACTGGACTGCATCTACAGTGCTCTTTTTGCCTAGCAGTGTTTTTTAAGACGAACTATCTTCTTCTTTTAGCAGAGAACACAGGGAGCTTTGAGTTTCTTGACACGCAGAAAGAAGACGATGTGTTACGACGGGGTGACGTTGCTATTGTGTCTTAATGTCCTGAAACTGTACCAAGTTAGTAAACAAAGAGGAAATTGTACCACGGTAGGAAGTAAACGTATTCAAGCAGCAGCAGTTATACAAACGCTTCCTTTTTATCGTTCGTTAGAGGTGATTGTTTCCTCATCGACGAAAACTGTAAAAGAATTCTGTTCACTTACCAACCATTTCAGCTTGGAATTTTGTAGGGCTAATAAGCAATAAGGGTCTGAAGTTCTTCTAGGAATTCGAAATGTTTATCGGTTCGTTTTTCTTCTCCATATTGTTGCTAAGTGAACGTTCTCATTCAGTGTTCTTCTGTGCTATTGGCGTCCAATAGCCGTCTGTGTTTCAAGTGGCTAATTGTGCGACCTGTGTTGTACAGCAGCTGATTGCGTATTCATTACTTGAGATGTGTGCTGAAAAGATGAGCACTCGCAGCCACTGCTTCTCGATAAGAACACTTAGACAGGGTCATGTTCATCGGCAATCTTTAAAAAAAATCCTTGCGAATACTGTCAAATTTAGCCTATTAGTTCATTTAGAAAATGGCACCATTTTCGATTGTTATTCCAAATTTTGATATTTATTTTGTTTTATTTTATTACATTAGCTGACAACATATGTATCACACAGTGCCGATCTCAGCACTCCTTCCACTCGATTTGTTTCCGCGAATCCACTGAACCGAAAGTTTTCGAACTCTTTTGCATGAGGATTTGGTTGCTGCTAGACTGCTGGTCTAGTGGAGTCTATTCTGCTTGGAATCATGAGAAAGCCGTGCTGCGGCATTCCCATGCAAATCGGTGGGAGTGGGCTTGTTCTCAACAACTTGGAAACTTGGATGGCCCGTCATCACTGTTGATGTGGGGATCAGCATAATGTACATTCGTTTCTCTCTTGCGCAGTCTTTGTCCATGGTAATGGTATGCTTCGGGCATGTTGACCTCAGCAAGGCCTATTCCGAATTCCAAAGATAATTCCCATCTCTGGGTGCAAATGGTTGGCTTAGCTACGAACACCGTCGCCCATCGTTTGGGTGTTCTTCCAACAGGACGCTTATATTCTCTTGGAGTTCATTCCACAACTCCAGAGAACTCTGGTACCAATTTCCCAACCTTGAAGTATGAGGGATTTGGTAGGTACAGTACGGGGTTCAACCAGTCGCTGGGTTGGTTGTGCTGTCCGGGTGAGAAGCGATATCACTGCTACTGCGCTACCTGCTCTCTAATTTTGAAATGCATCGTATTATATATATATATATATCCTTATATTCCGTGATCAATTCCAATTCAGTCTCTAGCAAAACGTAGAAATGTATTTCTTCGTGTTTTTGTTGAGCAAACGCGAGGTGTTATTATTCTTTATTCACAAATGAGCTGACGTTTCGGCGGATTTCGCCTTCCTCAGAGCCTGCCCACTATTCTCCTCCAGAGGCGGTCCTCCAAATACTGAGCACAAAAGTTTTCCTTCGTCTCGCACTTCTTCCACTTGGCGAACGTCTGGTTTTGTCGGCTTCGTAGACAGGTGCGTAGTATTCGCAATTCGATGTCCATTTGTGAATAAAGAATAATAACACCTCGCGTTTGCTCAACAAAAATACGAAGAATTACTTGATCAATGCCGAGGTTAATAGAAAGTCGGTCGTGGGAGTAGAAATGTATGTTATAGACGCATGACTTGTCCTCACATATACTCTTCTCTAAAGCACCCTAAATACCTTATCGATGTTATTATGAAAATGTGCTTTGGTGCTCAAAAGCTTTGGGACGCTCGATTGCTTCTAGAATTTAAAACTATTACAAGAAAGGAAAGAAACCCGTTGTAATTATAGACGATCATCTGGAGCCGACTGCCATTTTCGTTAATTTTTGTACAATGGAATGCTGTTTACAGTCCCGTTGACGGGTGATTGCTGATGGCAGTGGTCGATAGAACTAGCTGAGAGACAGGCGAAACGAAAGACCCTCATGGTGTGGTGGTGAGCGCGTTACTCTCCGGAAGGAACAATAGCGCGTTCGTTCCCCACCGTAGACGCCTGCAGTCCGTAGTTTTGCAAATATTTCAGCATCACTGTGGTTGTTTCACAAATAATACCCTGCCGTGAAAGCTAGTAAAAGGCTGTAAATAAAAAGCTAACATTATGGAGCTGTTTACAGTCTTAACCTTTTTATTTACTGCCTATTTTTTTAACGGCAGGGTATGTTGCAAAATGTAACTTCTATAATGCTGAGATATTTGCAAAACTCCGGAGAGCCGGTGTCTACGGTGGGGAACGAACCAGCTATTGTCCTTTCCGGGGAGTAACGCGTTCACCACCACACCATGCTGGTCCTTCGTCTCGCCTGTCTCTCAGCTAGTTTTATCGATATTTTTTATAGTTGTTTACAGTGTTAATTTGGAGAATTTTCTTAGTTCTCCAGTAATTGAACAGAAGTAACGACGTTGAAGCGTTGAACTAATAACTGCAACTGATAGTGTAGAAAAACATGATAAGCGATTTGTGCATTGTTTTCAGGATGGCTTTCTCTGGAAGAGAATACGTTCGCGAAAAAATGCCAATTATAGGATTTGGAACGTATCAGGTATGTTTGTGTTTCACTTACACGTACGATCTTTTTATCTCTTTACTTGGGACTACACCGAGAGGCATACCAAAGGCTAGAGAAAGTAGTATGCAGAGCAAATTAAGACGAAGACATTAGAAACAATGAACAGTCGTGAAGTATACTACAACGTAAAATGTATGAGGTAAGCCGAAGTAAATGGGAGATATCGAACAACAGTATGAAGACGGCGCATCTATCTTACACTGCTACACGTGATTACTTGGGTTTAGATGCGTAGCAACGTTGTTCCATTTGAAGACTTTGTATCATCTGCTTCAGAATCTGTTCTATTTTCAAATGTTAGGGTTTTCAGATTCGGAACGAAAAGGTGTTATATGATGTTGTCGACGCAGCGCTATCCTGTGGTTATCGCTTTTTCGACACCGCACAAATATATGGAAATGAAGCAGCACTTGGTCGTATATTCAAAGAACTCCTACCGAAATATGAGTTGGAAAGGTGTGAACCAAATTGTATTTTAAAGGGAATTACCACTTCACTAGCAATTATCCCGCTACGTTTTCATTTCATTTCTTAGCGGACACTGACTATCGCGAAGGTATAACCAATTCGAATTCCAACCCCAATTTTCCAAGAACGTCGTGAGAATACACGCGGCGCCATGTAGTCAGACTAAGCAAGTAGTGAAATCGGATCCTTGGACTAAGGGATTCACTTATGATCAACTTTCATCTTTGTGCTGCGAATGATCAGTTTTCATTTTGCTTTGCTTTGTTGTTGTTTTTTCCTTGTTCTATATTCACCGGAACAAGTCTTTATATTTCACTACATCCTTAGACCTACATCCAATGCGACTTTGCTCCTTGATTTAAAATAAATTTGTTAACGGCATTGACGTATTTCACAAAGTAACCATCTGAAGTGTAGTTCCAACTGAATATAGGTCTATGGTCATAAAGGATCTGTTGGGTTTTCTAAGAGTTCTACCTAAAATCTTAAAACTGGTACTCAACCTCTATACCCTAAAAATCGGGCGATTATGTTAAATTGCAGTACTGCAAGCGGATATGCAGGTGAGGATAGCTGAAGAAATGAGTCTTTATTCAGATCGGACATTTTCATCACAACAAAGGTTTCTCCAGCTAACCAAGGTACGGAACTTGCAAAAAAATCTGTGCTGAAGTGAGTGAATAATGCTTTTGTTCATTTTAAACATTAGACAGTGATCGCAGTTTATGGATGCAGTATTCTATAATGCTCAGTATGCGCCATCTGTATCACGTGTCGTACCGACGAAGTGACTCGAGCGCTTCCATCTCTCTCTAGCCCATTGGGTTCTTCTCGCTCTAGGGACTTGTTGAGCATCATATCTTTCTTCTAGGGTTTTCGTGAAGAACTACGGCTATCAAGATCATTGGCTTTAATACAGTACGTTTGACATCCCGAAGAATCCAGTCACTAACATATCTTGTCGACCGGTTGCCGTTCATACTCATCATTTGCCCATCCCACCGCATCCTCGACACTTTGGCATGCAGAACGGCATCTCTGATTTCTGATCGTTAACGTAGATCCAAGCTTCGGGTCCCTTCCCGCACCAGCGTGATACGAAATACTAGCATCGTCCTTTCAACTGCGCGTTCTATAACGCTTATTGATTTTTCATCCTGCTTACGTAGCGACCAGGTTGTTGAACCATACGTTAGGGCAAGAAGAATCATGGAGTCGAAAAAATTGGCACGGAGTCGGGTGTTCTTTATTCTCCTCACTAGATCTTCAATGCTCTTGAAAGTTTCCCAAGCCGTTCATTTCCTCCTGCTCAACTCTTGATCGATCTCGTTCATCACATTGACATCACCACCTAAATAGACGTAACTGGAGCATTCGAAGGTATTCGTCCATTTGAGTGCGAATGGTGCATAAGAAACCAATCCTTTCTTCTTGAACATGGTTTTTGCGAGATTTAATCGAAGAACAACCTTTCCATAGGCTTCATCAAAGTAGGCAAGCTTCGACTATAACTACAGCTAGTTTCTCATTAACACCTTGCTTCATCGCCTGTCTACATTGCTTTGCAAGTTCGAACGTGAGTTGGTGGTTCTCCGTAGCTCTTGTGATTCCATGCTAGTTACCAGCTCAAATGTTTCTGGAAACAGATGTTTCTTGGTGACTTTCGATCTCTCAGCTTTCATAGCACTAACGCGATGTTGAATAAGCCGTTCGTGTTCCTTGCCGGTGTTAGCAAGAACGGCATTTTCCCACGACCTAACTTATGAACTGAATAGTTTCTAGTTAGTGATGATTTGGGACTTCGTTTTTTGAATTTGACGCCTTTTTCTCCTTTCCGCGAGGAATGAAATCTCGCACGGAATGGTTCCCGGTAGTCTGTTCCCGTGTAAAATTTTGGGACAACAGTGACATCGATTAGGTAAAGCCTTCGATTTACTATGGTGTGTCGTATTTTTCTTTTCTTGTTTCTCCATTAGGAGCCAATGGGCTACAGAGAGATGGAAGCTCCACGTCCAGTGTTGAGTATGTGTATTCTGGAATTGGAAGTTACCGTGAATGGTCTTGGTCGTCATGATAAGGTGAGACAGCCGCTCAACCTACTCATTCCTTTCTAATCCTTGGGTTCCAATACGGTGTTCTTCAGACTTCTTCTAGGTCCAATTTGAGCGTTAAAATCTCCAACCATGATCTTAAAGAATGTCTCCAAGTCGATATAAAACGCTTCGAGTTCGTCTTCTTCATGACTTGATGTTGATGCGCAAGAGATGAAGACTATGAAATATGGCATTGAGCCACATGTCTTCAACTGTAAGCATCCGACTCGGATTATTTATGGTTTGAATGAACCGATTTTCGTGGCCGAGCTCGTGTCTCTATCCTCTATTGTTGCTAACTTCGTAGCTTATCATCCAAGTGAACGTGCTTTGAAGATAGAAGCTGTTGCCCAAGACCTTCGAGATTAAGGTAGCCTAGATTGGCTCGAAATTTTAGCAGTCTGTCCGAACTCGTCCTACCCAACGCTGCGAAATTGGAGGCTCTTTCGGGGTCAGAGGAATGGAGCCCACTTATTTGGCCGTGTTTAGCATGTGATGCTTACCTATAGCTTGCTAAGGTCTAAACGTAGCGCTGTTTAAACTCAAGGACAGCTTGACGGTACACACCTCCGCACGCATGTTTGAATGCGCTCTCGTAAATACTGAAGCTACGTGTCAAATCGGTGCAGCAGAAACAGGGATTCCATTCTTTGGATCCATTTGCGTCTCAGGGAAGCATAAGGTCAGTTTTCGTCCGCGGTTAACCCCCTATCCGCTATCTGGGGACGGGTCACGTTGCCTCGCGACTAGCCGGCATAAGATCCCTGTTTTAGAGAGATTTTGGTAGTATCCATCACAACACAGTAATATCCTAATTGACACCCGATAATTTAGGTCGCTAGCCAACCTCCAGATTGATTACATTGACTTAATGCTGATCCATTGGCCTGGGATCAGCAAGTTACCTGTTGGAGATTCTCGAAATTTCGATGGTCGTCGACAGACCTACGAGGTCCTAGAAGAGTTTCATGGTTAGTGCTTATAACATGTATGGAGCTCTGAAACTGAGAACCGTGTCATGAAAATCGTGACGGACACCAAATAAAGTGCGTAAGTCAATACTGTTGCAGAATATCGAACAATGTTGTTTGCTAGTTTCTAGTAAGATAATGAAAGATTACTTCAGCTCTAAAATATTTAAGTTAGCAATATTTGGCGAATCTTGCCTTTAAGTTTTATTCGTTTTTCTCGTTTCATTTACTGCTACATTTTGGCGAAGCTTCTTGTATGACTTTGAAGTCACTTATTTTTGACATTCTGTAGCCTAATTATATTTTCAGCTAAGAATTCGAGCACATTTTAGCTATGTTTCTATGCTTTCTTCCAGGATCTGGTGAACTGCGAGCTATCGGAGTGTCAAACTACGAGATCCGCCATTTAGAGCAATTACTCACTCATTGCACTGTTCACCCAGCTGTGAACCAGGTATGGTGAATTTCCTATCCTTGAAACCAATTTGGGCACTTTTTTTGTCAACTTTTACTGGTTCACAGCTATTTTAGTGGCTACAGAAGCAGTTAGATCAGCAGTGCAGTCTAAAATTCAATGTATAATGTATATAGAACGTATAACAGATAGAATAAAAGTATAGAGAAAATCTGCAGAACATCGTCACTAAACGATTTCAGCCGGCTAAGCGAGCAGCCATGTGGGGCATCCCCTTGTAGTGAGGTCACACGAAATTGGATTCAGCAACCAATTGATGCACACGTGCTTGTATGTCCTTATATGTATTAAGTTGTATCCTAAATGTCGACTCGCTGGTCAGGTCCTCACCTGCTCTAGGGAAACCGGAAAGCTACCCAGCAACTCTGCTAGAGCTCAGCAAGCCTACGGAGCTGTTATGATTACCACAAACAGAATTGAAATATTAATCGCCAAAAACTGTGGAAATAAACCTTATTTTTGATTCAAAGAAGCTTACAGTACGGCATTTCAAGGTAGGACACGTGCGGAAAGGCTGGTAAGATGTCAGGGCTGTTCAATGCTTGGCTAAATTTAGATAAACTGATATAACCGTCTGTACTTACACTGCAATCACACTGGCATCTAAATCACACATTGAAAACAGTGGTACAAGCTGGGAAGATTAGGTGAGCATCATAGGGTTAACCGAAATACGAAGATACTGCAGATTAAACGCCGTCAGTGATACCGAGGGGGAAATGTTTCTTTGAAGACGTGATAGTAGAGAAATCGACTGTGTTGGTATCGTATAGGACGTTAAAAATCTCGCATTTCAAGCGCACGGTGGGAAACCCGTTGACGTGATCATCAGAATTTGTTCGCGAAATTAATAGCAAAGAGAACCTATGCTCTTCGACTGTGTCGAGTGACCACAACAGCTAACTCATGCAGATAACATGGACAGATAAAGATAGTCAGTGCCTCTGAATTTATTCGATCACTGAAGGGGTCACGTCATATAAATGCTATAAACTGTGGAGAAAACTGGACTAAAGTTATAAAGACATGAAAGATGATGTATCAGGAGGAAACGCGGTCAGGGTTTTCCAATATTTAGTTTTCTTTTGCGATAAAACTTAGAAAAGCGGCATTGATAGGGAATGTATTCATCCTCTGTAATATTCACTTTGGAGTACTAATGAACAGATTATATGTTCTGAGTCCACTGGGCTAGAAACCATAGCACTTGTCCGCAGTTAGGGGTGGGTTAGTAAACCATACTAGTGATCTGACGTGATTTGTCTTAATCTATTATTGGAGTGAACTGTATTTTTAAATTACTTTAAAGGTTACAGGTAGAGTTCCATCCGCACTTTCATCAACTGGATCTGCTCGAGTTCTGTAAAGTACATGATATTCATTTTCAGGTGCTTAGTTTGATCTTACTTCTTATTTCTATGTGGAAATATCAGTCAAACTTTGTAGACGGGATGACCTCGTTCCTTCACAGCTGTTAAAGTCAGAAAAATAGAATGAATATGAAATGCTGCGGTACTTCCAGTCATTCTATCTCAACATGAACAATATTCGTTTCTCCATTAACATTTCCTCATAAGTACTTATAGCTAGCGTAAAGATATTTTAGCTGTTGATAACCGAGTAAGAAGCCAAACCGCAACATAGTTTTGGTACAATGGAGACTTGGATAGGATGGATGCATTTGTTTGTCGAAAGCTTTTGACAAACGTATTGTGCTCCTATTATTTGCGAACATTCTTAAGACATGTTAATATTTGGAGAAAATCGTACGGGTTTTTTAATGTTTTTTTTAATTCTTTGATACGTTTGCGATGAATCTGCTTTTATGAAAATGCCGGATTATTTTCCGATGACCACAATGCTTGTGAATCCGTGAAAGGCTAATAGAGAAGGGTTTCAGTTATCCTTTAAGGGCACAAGCAACTTTTTGTGTCGTTGGAATTAAGGGTTTATTTAAAACCTTAGTTTGTACAAAACCGAGAGCGATGTCTATGCTTCTGAAAATTTTAACGAAATCCGAGCAGCCTGAAAACATTAACGATTCATGTGTGGACACCATGATATCCCACCTTGCGAAATCCGGAGGCTCTGGGGAAGGCGAAATCCGCCGACAGGTCAGCATTAGTGAATAAAGAATAACAACACCTCGCGTTTGCTCAACAAAAATACGAAGAATTACTTGATCAATGCCGAGGTTAATAGAAAGTCGGTCGTGGAAATCCAGAGTGTTCAATAGGTTCAATTTCCCAAATATTGGCTGCGACAAATAATCTTTCGTTCTGAGGATATGGGTGGTGATGTATGCCATTATTTATCGTTTACTATATGTTATTATGGTCCATCATGCAAATTGCTGTCAGCATTTAGAAGGGTGCGGCAGGTTATATTGTCTTTTTCGATATTCTCTAGACCCATACATTCCATGCAATTCATGCTTCATCATAGCGATTAAAATGAAATAACAGTAACCTGCCAAATAAATTGATTTCTGTATGTTTCTAAGCGTAAAGATAACTTTTCCAGACTTAGCCATCCTACTCTGATCTGCTTCCGATTAGCTATCGAATGAATGTACAAAGCTTGGTACAAATTGTGGAGTCCGCTGAACTGAAAATGTACACAATAGTATGCATGTAGTCCACTCACGCCTCCACGTATTCAAATTGGAGCGTACATGCTGGTCTTTATGGGTTAAAATGGAAAAGGGTAGATATTTTCGAGTACGCACGTAATGGAATCAAATGTGCATCGTTGCGACTGTGTGACATAAACTTAACTTTGAAGGTTTCTCCTTTCAAGAAACATGTGCCAAGAAACATACATTGTGTTGTTACCTCTACTTAATATTACTCTAAAGTAAATAAAATAACGCTCGTGTTTGCTCTCCAACAATATAAGTCGGTTATGGGAATTACGAAATGCTTTGTTTAGGGGGCGGATAGCACGGTAGACGTCCGAGTAGACCCATTCAGTTGCGTAGACGGGCCTACGGATAAAATTACTTGGTTTATAAATCTACCCCTCAACCAGTTGCTTAAGCACATACCAGCCCATCTCACGAACACCCAAATGTTCCTAAACCGTCTGCGCAACGCACGTCCCAAAAGCGCGTACGTTACGGAGTCGTGCGACGTTGCCGCCCTTTACACTAACGTTCTTTCCATTATTATCTAAGAACCCTTTACCGATCGTACAGAAATTTAGCAACCAAAGTCTTATAGTTCTAGAAACAAGCACAATCACAAACTTTAGAATGCTTGTTCATAATACACTAGATGGGCAAGCACGAGGTGTTACTTTATTTTATACTTCGATGTTCGATGATAACAGATAATCCCTAAGACTTGACTTTCTATTTGCTTCGGACAACAGGTAATGTTAGCAAAGCACCGTCTTATGCTTATTAAATCTTCTACAGAAATCACAGTAAATAGGCGTTATATTCCTTGAAGCATACTTGTATTCAGGCATACAGCAGTTTGGGAGGACCTGATTATCGTGATGAGCTCTTCAATGATCCTGTTATCCAAGAGATGGCGAAAAAGTACCAGCTTTCCACTGCGCAGTTTCTACTAGCATGGACAACATCTCAATCCATAAGCGTGCTACCTCGAACAACTCAACGTCAGCGAGTCATCGAGAATTTCGCTGCTAAAGATGTGATGGTCACCAATGCGGATGTTCAGAAGCTTTTGAACAACAGAAAACATAACAAAGCGTGCTGGGATCCTACTGATGTTACTTGAGAAATTTACTTCGCAGTAACGATGTTTGAATTTCTCAGTCTGTTGAAATTAACTGCTTTAATGAACTTGATAGCAGTTATGATCTTGCAACCACAGCAGAAGCATCCCGTTTTTTCAGTTCCACCTGCGAATGAATACTTCCTTTTGTTTTTGAGACAGATGTAATCGTTTTAACTTATGCTGAATAACAGGTACATTTTCTTAAAATTTTATACGACCCGTCCTCACATCTACTGTGTGAATCCCATCACAGAACCTCTTGTATTCAACCCGTTTCCTCGCATCCATCATTCACGAAAGACCTTCATTTTTCCGTGTACGGCCTAAGTTGCTGCTTGAGGAATATCGTCTTCTTTATGAATGTCGTCGAATGGTGGTCGAATTGATTCTACATGGACTCCTAAGAAAGCGTCCCCACTTGTATTGCAGAGAGTGAACTGTCCCCAGACAAGTCTGGCACCAATTTCCCGATCCCACAGGGATGAGAAGTTTGATGGGGCCGGAGTGGGTCGAACCAGTACCGTTCTCGTGATGAACGGAACGTATTACCAGGCCCTATAGTAGACACAGGTGAAATTAATTTTAGAGAGAGATGGAGCTACTAATTGCGTGTATACATGCACATATATATATATATATATATATATATAGTTTCGTTGGAGATGTGAACATATACGTCTAAGTAACGTTTTATGGACACATTTTTTATGACCAAAAGAGAGCTGGTAAACAAAATGCTATTGATTACACAGTACGTTAATACAATTCGTGTTGATCTTACGCAGTAGAACAAGAGTATTGTGCTAGTAACAGCATATGTAAATGTGAGATCATAAAGTCCTAGTCTAGAAAAAAATCTATGTGTAATGGCCTAAGTGAGAACCAGAAATGATCACCGTGTCTTCCTATCATCATTATTTTCCCGTCTATCTTTGGTTGACAGACGTTCCAAACACTCGTTGTATATATTCAGAAGATCGAAATCCAGTATGCAGTTTTCCTGCAATATATTTCCCAATTATTACAATGAAAATTGCGTAGTCAAAATTCGAAGGGCAGAATGGAAAACCTGAGTGAAAACGAATGGGATGGCTCGTCGCTTCTCGCTAACTAGTGGCCGACGCTTTAGTTCCTTGGCGTCTCTATAAAATAAATGTAAAGTATGTTTGGAATCATATGGGTAAGAGTTTTCAATCTTATCGTAAACATACTTGAACACACAAATTGTAGGCAACTGACGAGATGTTGGATGCGCATTGACGCGGAACCGGTCTGCCTCTTTTGGCCACCGTCCGACGTCAAGTTTTCCAAAGCGCAAATTTGGAAGATTGAACCTGTGAGAAAACTAGGAAACCTCTTTGACTGACATAATGTGTAAATACATTTCCCTATAAACATAGAGACATCTTTCAGTTTTCCGTACCTTTTAGGCCAACGACAGCGCTAAACTAACGAACTTTGTTGTTGTCGAACTATTTTGGATATTGCTTTTCATTTACTGTCTATTCTTTTTTAATGGCAGTGTACTATATGAAATACAACCATAATGATGTTGAGATATTTGCAAAACTCCGGACCGCAGGAGTTTGCGGTGGGGAACGAACGTGCCATTACCTTTTCCGGGGGCTAACGCGTTCACCACCACACCATGTGGGTCCTTTGTTTCGCCTGCCTCTCAGTTAGTTCTATCGATCAGCGCCGTCAGCAATCATCCGTCAACGGGATTTATTTAGGAAGCCCAAATCGGCAACGAGCCTAGTTAAGCTGAGGCTATAGACGAATTCACAATGCTAACTTTGTATTTACTCCCTATTAAAATTTTTCACGGTAGGGTATTACGTGTGAAACGACTACATGATGCTGAGATATTTGCAAAACTCTGGACCGTAGGTGTCTGCGGCGGGGAACGAATGCGCTATTACCCTTTCTTCCGAACAAAACTCACCTTTCACTTAACTGAGCAAATACGGGATTCACATGCCTGCAGTTTGGACTCCAGCTTGTATAAAATTGGATGACAAAAACGGACTTGCGGTCCCTGTCTAATTCCTGCTGAAATAGAGTACCATGAATATTAGTTAGCAATAGAGCAACACATAATTGAACCAAAAGGACTTACAAATAGTTCTGAACCTTGAAAATATGTGATCTTTTCCGGACCTGAGTATACTGGTTCTGGCGCCAATATAGTAACAACTGTAAAACGAATAATAAGTAATATGAGAGTTGAGCTAGCAGAACCCAGAAGGAAAACGTACCGACAACTGCCATGAGGTAAAGAATGCCAGTTAGTGCATCGGCACGAAAAAATAGAGCAATGTTAGCGATTTTGGAGAAGAGAAATATGTTGTTGATATAATGTAACCAGTTCGTCGCTTTTCGTCCTTTCCAAGCAATAATTACCGCCAAAAATACAAGGATCTCACGTTCGCGCTAAACTGAATATGGATAAGACTGAGTCGAAAAACTTACATGTGACTAGCGAATAACTCTAAACTTCTTTCTTCGTATTTTTGTTGAGCGAACGCGAGGTGTTATTACAAAACTTCTTCTTTGTTAACATCTTAACTATAACCAGTCATCGTTACCAGACAACCAATTGTCCAACTTTCACTTTCTTGATCTTTCGAGTCATGCCAGAGTAGGTTTATGGGTCTAGGACCTTGTGTGGATTAGGGTGAATCTTGCGACTCTCCAAATTATTTCAAAAACAACTTTCCTTTAACCTCGGTATAACTAGTCAATATGCATTCTTTATTTGACAAGCTTACATGAGTTAGATAAGCAATCTTCATTCGGCCGATATTTTCACGTCTTCGTCTTCATCTGAGCCGATGATCCGAGTAGATGGTCCACAGGTGTTTGTCTTCTCGATGTGCCGTCTTCGTCTTCGTATCAAGTCGTATTTTCTTCAGTGAAGCATTCGGGTGGGATTGCCTCATTCGAGGGATGCTGTATTGAAGAAGATACGACTCAATACGAAGACGAAGACGCCACAACGAGAAGACGAACAGCTGTGGACCACCGACTCGGGTCATCGGCTCTGATGAAGAGGAAGACGTCGATACTTTAGCCGAGTAAAGATTATTTATCATTCTCTTGAGCTAAACTATCAACGATTTTCGTGCTTGTCTCTATCACAGAATGGCTATACTCCTGCCAAAAACTGAAGGAAAAGGCTCTCGGCGTTGATCAATCCCTGAGGGATTGTGCATTCGACTTGACTAACCTCGCGTCAGCTTGAGAAGATCAGTTTATAAGATCACATAAATAAATATATTGACTAACCATCGTTAGAGGTGACTGACTGCACATCTGGTCTTTACAATGACTCGCTGTGGCTACCGATGTATCGGGCCGTAGTGTTGCTATCTTCTGATACAAGTCTGGTATCAACCTGCCGACCCGGAAAAGATGAAGGGCTTGGTGAACCTTGAGGGCGGGGATTGATCCCATATGTTTTGGAGGGCGCCTCTCATCACTGCGCCATACGCACCTTTCTTCTTGTCATGTTACTTTCAATTATAGCGTAAGCCAAAAACACTATCGACTGATTACGTATGGATGAAATCACGTAGAAATAAATACTGGTAACAATATGTTTGCAAAAAAGAAAAAGGAACTAACCGGATCAATACCGCATTCTTTGTCACCGGTGAAGATCCACGGACATATCTGAGGAATGCCTTTGGCACAAAGAAAAGCAACAGATAGAAGAAAATTCAGAAAATGATAGAGTGTTCCCACTTGCTTTGCTTCATGAAAACGAGATAGAAGCATATGCTGAAACAGTATGAATATTTCAGTGATGCAACTTTTTAAATTAGCGATTTTACCAAAATAATGAAAACAGGTAATGAAAATGAACTGAGAGAAAAAAAGAGGGAAATGAAAAGCGCAGAGAAATTTTAAGTCGTGGAGAAAATGGTCGTCTGCAATTGCAGTATATTGCCGGTTTCGGTGTTTCAAAATTGTTGCAAATTTTACTCTTATTACTTCAGAATTTTTCTAGTTACCAGTTACTTACTAATTAGTGATCCAGACTAATTACTATTTTGTCTGTTTGCAACGTCTTTATTGTTCCAGTGCTGAGATGCGTCCCAGTGATGACATTCTCGATGAGTTCTATGCTCTTGCAGATTTGGATAGTAAGAAAAGAACGGATGCTGTTAGTCGATTGTTGATGAAAGTTGTAAGTTCTTTTCTTTTTGTCTTTCTAAGCACGTGCTTCGTAATACTAACATTTCTTAGAGACTAAACTCTTCTGCTCAAGACTACTGCGTTGAACGTTTAGTAACAGGACTTAGTTCTCCACGCGGAGCAGCTCGATTAGGGTCAGTTTGTTTCTCCCAGTTTTGTTCAAGCTCTCTCCTTCGCTAATTTTGCATGGTATGTTAAATATGAAGGGTTTAAATTGACGTTTTTGTCTTTATGCGAAGTAGAGTGTAAATGAACCAAAGCACTCATCCAGTTTCGTTCATTTTCCACAATATCCTAGGGCTTTGATTCTTACGGTTCTTTACGTTTCTGGTTTGTTCCAACATAATAGTGAGGTACAACCAAGATCGATAGAAATAGCTGAGAGACAGGCGAAACAAAAGACCCGCATGGTGTGGTGGTGAACGCGTTACTCCCCGGAAAGGACGTTCGTTCCCCACCATAGACACCTGCGGTCCAGAGTTTTGCAAATATCTCAGCAACGTTGTGGTTGTATTTCGCTTAGTACCCTGCCGCGAAATCATAGTAGGCAGAAAATAAAAAGGTATAACATAATAGTGAGGCTTCTAACGCTTGTTTGCTTAGAATATTGTTTTAATCCAGCTACATTTTCCTATTTCCTACTACATTATTTCGGTGTCCTAGGAGAGGACATGATTTATATATGTATGAAACATATTGTATTGCACAAATTGCACAACCTTCCCAAACGTTTACCGCCTCATCATGGCTGGGTAGTTGTTTCTGGGTGTCGGGCTGCAATGAGCAGAGGAGATTCGTCCCCCCAGCAGCGTCTCCCAAGCTAAAAAGGAGTCCGGCGTTTCCATCAGGAAGCTCAGCTAAGAGTAAACCAGTACCAGGATCCACCATCTTTCTGGTATCAAACCAGTCGCATGGTGGCAAATCTCTCTGATTCACAAGAGCGGCGACTGGCTATGGTGGTGATAACCTGGGGCAGACTTTGGCTAAGCTGATCTCGAGGCTCCAGTGAGACACAGTAGCTAAACCAGCAAAACTCCGAGAAAATGAAAATTGTGCTGGGGCGTGCGCAACCAGAGAAGACGGGCCATCCAAGTATATTGCACAACTATTTTCTTTATCCAGGTATTCTTCTGCTCTTTGTATTCTTCTTATGGAAATGCATGAATTATGGACAACTAATAGACTGTTTGCATTGGCTGACAAAAAGCTGGATCTGCATGACAAGGTTTTCTTTGTGAACTTTTGCTTACAGGAACTTAGAATCCTATTTTTACGCGATTTTCTGTCAGAGCGATTTAATTCTTAGGAAAATGGAAGAGCGAATGCAATCGGCCGCCATCTACTGGTATCAGCAATTTACAGGTCAAGAATGTACTCAGAGGTTCGTTTCTTCAGCGATTTTTTTCCAAAGAATATTTTCTTGTTGTTTTTCTTAGTGCTTTAGACCAACGTCGTCTTATTAGAGCATGAACTAGAGATTTATCGGGCATGTCCGTCGTTGGGCATGTCAGTGGCCCAGCAAATGGCGGAACTTATTGGTGAAATCGATAAGAAAACCTTTAAATCGGTATGTTTAGTATTGTCTGGTGGATAAATGTGTAATTCGTGTGCAAATATACTTCCTTTAGCAAGTCCTCCCTTTAATCAGAGATTACCTGGATTCAGCGCTCACCCGATCCTCTGTGGAGTTTGTCTACCTTGCCTTGCTTGTCAAGGATCGTTTTCCTGTATGTTTCTTCCTGAGAGTCGCTCTTAATTTTAGATTCAGTATTTTTTTTCCTTATTTCGATATAGTTACATTGCAGTCATACCTCGCCGAGATCGTCAGCTTTGTTCAAAAAGATGGCTCATGTAGATTCTCCGAGAGCGATTTGACGTTTTTGTTACTTACCGTAAAGGTAGGCATATAGTGTCCGATTTTATTACCTTTCGCAATAAAGAGTTTCCCTTCAGAAATGCGACACCTCGGCTCTGGAGCCGTTCCTGAAACTACTTCTTGCGTCTTCGCGTCAATCTGGACAATTTAGCGATGTTTATAGAAGTAATTAAAGTTGAATGTACTTACTTATTTGGGTACTTGTATGGCCCATCCGCACCGGTTATGCTGGCTTCAGCATAATTTCCTTTTTTTTGCAGTTTAGCTGGTTTAGCTACTGTGGTTTCCTGGAGTCTCGAGGTCGGCCTAGCCATTGTCTGCCCTATGTCATCACCACCACAGGCAGTCGCCACCTTTGTGGACCAAAGGGAGCCATGGATGCCACCATGCGACTAGTTTGATATCATGACGGTGGTGAATCCTTGTATTGGTTTACTCTTAGCTGGACTTCCTGATATAAACGCCGGACTCCTTCTTAGCTTGTGAGACTCTGCTGGGGGGATGAATCCCGCCGCAGTACGCTGCAGCCCGACACCCAAGAACACCTCTCAGTCACGATAAGGCGGTTAACCGTTAGGAACAGCAATGAATGTAATTCCCACCTATCTTTATCGTGCTGCTGCCATCGCAACTTTTAATAGTTCAGGTAATACTAGACTTCGAATGAGTGTACTTATCTGTTTAGATGTTATCGAGAAATGGTGCACATCGGGAGATGAGTCGAAGGTTCTCGAAAGGATTTTCGATACTGCTAAATTAACACTATCGAGTAGTAACGAAGCTCACAAAGAGGTTTTGAAATATTTTATTAAGATTCTAAGACCTCTGTATACAGTTTCGCTGGTTTCTATTACATGTCGTCTTCTTGTTTTTTCTTATGTTTTAGATACTGGTGGTGTTTTCACCCTTTCTACTTAAGAGGATTGTGCAGGTCGCGCGTGGTAAACGAAACGCTCAAAACAGAATTTTGCGTGATAAGGTGACTCGTTATTGGCTTTTTTAAAGTTTAGTTCCCAAAACTGCTTAGAAAGTAGTAGTAGTATCCCTTTTTGTTAGACGGTTGCTGGCAGCTCTTGGAATTTATTTGTTGAGAGTTAATAAATATAGATCTCGACTTTTCTGTACTAATTTAAGGTCTCTAAGGTCTAGTTGAAAATTTGACTTTTTCGAGGCCACTTATTCAACTAGTCGTACGGTTATCTCTCGAGTGCGTGTAGTGTAGTGGTCAAGCGCGCTCTTGCAATGCACTTGAGTTCGATCCCAGTGACCCAGGTTCACGAAGTTTTCCATTACTCCGAGGTCGACATATTCGTAGCGTAATTGTGTGGAAGGATAGCAGCACTGGGTCGATTCATCGGTGGGCCGTCGCGAGTCATTGTAAGGGCCAGATATGGATTCAATCACCTCCAAACGATGCTTAATGAAGTCGAATGCATGGGGCATCCTTCAGGGGTTGATCAACGCCGAGAGCTTTATCGTTAGTGCTTTATCTTTTTTTATTTTAACAGTTATCTCCATAAAATGTTTAGGCTTACCACCATACTAGTCTATTGGCATCTCTTTTATTCATTTTTTACATCACATCTCTGCTTTTCCATTCAGTAGAAGGTTTTTTTTTTGTCGGAAGGAAATTGGTGAAACCTTTGTCAGCAATTCTCGAAGATGCGACATTTACTTGCGGCTAGCTATACTTCACGTGATTACCCGAATTTCTCAAAGGTTATATATTGCAGATGATATTTATTCATTCTATTCGTAAAAATATTTATCTTTCCTCAAAGAACTCTTTAAGCATCCTTTTCTCCAGCAGCAGTTGTTGACACTGTTCGGGCACTGTAAAGGACAAAAATTTTTGGTAAGACTGATTCCTTGTAAAATAAATTGCGATGCGAAGGAATAAAACGAGTGCTATGGAGCTTCTGCTTCCGTTTTAGTCTTTTTGAACTTGTGTTCACAATTGAGACTTATGGTCCGATCTTTTGAGTCTTCGCTAACAAGGTATTCCTCTTCAGGGTACAGAATGGCTGTGAACTTGCTTTTTTCTTTTGAAGAAAGTTCCTCTGTAGGAAAAGTTCACCTTTTTATTCCTAGGTGTTTCATTAACACTAAAACTCTTGGTACGTACTTTGATAATCATGGAATGGTAAAAAATTCTCGAATCCTTATTCAAACGACTTACTTTTCTTGCATTCTTGCTTAAGTTCTTCGTTTTCTACGCAATATTCTGTGTCCTTATCACATTCTATATTGCACATATCCAATGTTGGTATCCAAACAGGATCAGAGAACGGATCGCCACCTAATAAGTGTGATTTCACAGTGCAGTCAAAACGATTTTCTTCCCATGTTTCCTTAATGTCGTTTCATTCTCAATGGAAGCATAACTAATGGCTTGATGGGTGATTCCTGATAGCACGTATAAAACATGGCTGATAGTAAGGTGAAACGAATGACCGGCACGGTGTGGTGGTGAACACGTCAGTCACCGGAAAGGGTAATAGCGAGGTTCGATCCCCACTGCAGACACCTACTGTCCGGAGCTTTGCAAACATCTCGGTATCATTGTGGTTGTATCACATATAATACTTGGGTACTTGGGTATTTGGATGGTCCGTCCTCACTGGTTGTGTGGGCCGCAGCAAAATCTCCAATCTTCGGAGAATTGCTGGTGTAGCCATTGTTGTTCCTTGGAGTCCCGAGGACAACCTGGTAAAGTCTGCCCCAGGTTATCACCACCGCGGGTAGCCGCAGCTCTTGTGGCTCAGAGGGAGATTCGCCACCATACGACTTTGATATCAAGACGGTGGTCGACCCTCGTATTGGTTTACACTTGGCTGGACTTCCTGATGGAAAAAAAAGCCGGACTCCTCAGCTCCGGGGACCATGCTGCGGGAATGAATTCACTCGCTGTACATCGCAACCCAATACCCAGGAACACCTCCTACCCATGATAAGGTTGTAAACCATTGGGAGGCACACATAATACCTTGCCGTAAAAAATTGTCGTAGGCAGTAAATAAAGAAGTGATTGCATTAGCATAATTAGTTTTGCATTCTTGAAAGTTGAAAAAAGAAGAGTGAAGAAAATACTTACATATCTTGGCATTTGCGAACAGAAATTCAGCGTTATCGTCAGATTGTGCTTGTGATAAGACGATGACAATTAGAAGAGTTGGTATAGAATAGAAGTTTGGCATACGCTATTACAGTGATTGTCGTCTTGGAAAATGCGGATGACTGAGCGAACGGGAATTAGGGAGGAGTAGTTTACAGTGATGTTTTTTCTTTTTTATCTTGTTGCGAGCTGTTGACGTGTGCTGCGCAAACTGGGATAGAACCGGTACTGTCGATGTACAATTCGTCATTTACGCGCAATGCTTTCATAAACGTTCGTTGTAATAGCGACTTATTGCGCCGAAAATGGGGTTCAGGCTGCTAGAGTTTGAGCTATAACCTAGAATTACGCAACTGGGGTGTTCCTATTTTGTCTTAGCGTGAGTTCTATGACATGTCTCAGTATCTAAATCGCAAAGAAACATTGAGAGGATTGGTGTGAAAGCGGAGTTGATTTCTTGTTTGTGAAATGAAGTCTGATGCAGTATTCTCATCTTGCGAGCTCCCAGTGCTGTATATTTGAGCTTTCGGTTGTAATTAGTGGTCTGTCTAATGTGAAGTTTTCAAATAAGATAATGTTTTTTCTAATCTTTCGATTGCTAAGGTATTAATCCTTGGCCATTTGTGGTAACTACGTCCATCTGAACATTGCCGTAAGGAGTTTTCTTTCAAGTGTGTACAACAATCTACATTCTTCATTTGATCCATAGTGTCTTTTTAAAAGCATTATTATTGTAGTGATCTCAAGAGTTTTTTTTCAGTCTTTAGATTGAAATTTTTCTATTCCACTTTTTCCATCTTTTCTGTCAGCGATACTATTGGTGAATTAGTAGAGAACGGTAAGTTACTAGGAAGAAGAAAGTAGAGAATGAGAACGATGATGTAATATATTGTGACCATCTTTCTGATAATCCAAGGAAACCCAACTAAGAGTAAACCGATACCACTATCCACCACCGTTGTGGTGTCAAACTAGTCACATGGTGGCAAATCTCCCTCTAATCCACAAGGGCGGAGTGCTTGTAGCTGTGATGACCTGGGGTAGACTTTGGTCAAGCTGACCTTGGGACTCCAGAGAAATACGATGGCTAAACGTAAACCTCCGAAAAGTGAAGAATGTGCTGGACCTGCACAAGCAGTGAGGACGGGCCGTCTAGGTATTCAAGTAACTACGTCGATATTTCCCTAAGGTTTTACAACATTGTATCGTGGAGTATAGGAGGTCTGGAAACTTTCAAATGTTTTGCAGATTGCCGATTTCTGCAAATTCGTTGAAGATTTCTTGAGTTTGACGGAAGACGACTCTGATCTACTTGAGGTCATTGAGACGTTGGACACAACTGAAAATTTCGATGCGCTGACTAGTAGTAACCTAATCGGTCATTTGATCGGGCGATTGAGTAAGGACGGAGTGGCGAAATGGATACAGGTTTGTGTTTGTATAAGGCTTCATTTAGCCTGTACTATTTACTACTTGTAAAAGTTTGATTCGAAGTTTTGAAGATAGAAAAACGAAAATTTAAGACATTTGTAATAGCTAAACATACTATTATGTTGTTTAACTGTTATTTGCTCCCTCTTATTTCTTCCTTGACAGGGTATTACGTGAAAGAGAGTCAAAATGATACCGAGATATGAACAAAACTCGGACTCATAAGTGAGCTTCGAACCCGGGATTAGTGTTTCCGAGGGCTCAAATCTCATCCATGACACCACCACGCTTCTTATTTTGCTTTTATCGTAGCCATTTACTTTCCGTAACGATATTATCAGCAGTCACCCGTCAACGGGATTTGATTTAGCGAGGACAAATGGGAATTGAACTCAGTTAAGTTGACAGAAAGGCGAAAGCAAGACCCTCGGTTGTGCATTGGGTGATACATTAGCCTACGGAAAGAGTAATTGCGAGTTTAAAACCGGCGTGGGGTCCGTGTTTTGCAAATATTTCAGCATCATTATGGATGTATTTCACGTAATGATCTGGTTTGGAGAAAAATAATGGGCAGTAAATAAAAAGCTGGACATTTGACCTCGACTGCAGCCTCAGTTTAACTGTGCCCAACGCTGATTTGTGCTCCTCAGATCGTTCCCATTGACGGATGACTTCTAATGGCACCGTTGTAAAAACTGCTTAAGAAAAAGGTGAAGCAAGGGCCTCGGTGGTGCAGTGGATAAACCATGAGCTCGTGGAAAGGGTAGTCGTGGGTTCGAAATTCACCAGGGGTTCCGAGTTTTGCTCAAATCTTAGCATCATTATGCTTAGACTGTTGTAGCTGTGTTCTACTTTTTATTTACTGCCTGTTATTTTTTCATTGCAGGGTGTGATGTGAAATACAACCTTTAAGCTCCAGGAAAGGGTAATCGCGGGTTCGAATCCGGTTTAGTATCAAGTTTTGTAAATATCTCAGCATCATTGTCGTTGTATTTCACATAATGCTTTGCCATAAGAAGTAATGGGATGTGGATTAAAAGTTATAGAATGCTGAGGTATTTGCATAACTCGGACCCCAGGCCAGCTTGGAACTGACGTCTACTTTTTCCGAGGCTCACTGCTAGCATTGCATCACGGAGACCCTTGCTTTGATTATTGTAACTGAAACATATTGCAGTTTCCTATGGACCTGTAATAAGGTGTGGGCTGAGTGCTATAATTCCCAACGGTTTACCGCCTCATCGTGGTTGAGAGGTGTTCCTGGGTGTCAGACTGCAATGCGCAGCGGGGAGATTCGTCCCCTCGGCAGAGTCTCACAAGCTGAGAAGGATTCCGGCGTTTCCATCAGGAAGCTTAGCTAAGAGTAAACCAATACCAGGATCCACCACCGTCTTGGTGTCAAAGTCGCATGTTGGTAAATCTCGCTCTGATCCACCCGCAAAACTAGTGATGACGTGCTGTTAAGTAGCAATTATCAAGTACATTGATATTGCTAGCAGCAAGATTAGAGTTACTTCCTCAGGAGAAACTGTGCAAATGTGCTCAACTTATGAATCATGTTTTCTTTTTGTAGACTGCTGGTAAGCCTTGGTCATTCCGTCATATATGCGCAGCCTTCCCGCACTGGAGTAATGACGCAAAAGTGGAAGCACTTTTGGCATTGTTGCACCGTGCCAAGTCTGAGCAGTTGCAGTATGCTGTTGGAAATTGCATCAGTTGTTTATTCAAAATAAAGGTGTGGATTTCTAAACTGCTTCGAACTCTATTTTTATGTGCTGGTATGTGACTTTGGTCAATGTTCTTACGATCAGGTTCGAGCTGGCGCGTTTGTGAGTGTATCACTTGTTGAAGGCGGTGAAGATGTACTGCGTCAAGTAGTTATGATGACGTTTGGAAAACATATCGTGAAAAGTGCAGTGAAAAAGTTGGATGGGAGTGTTTGTTATAAGAGGTATGAATATGGTGAAATTTCATTGGTTTCTAAGGCTATTTTTCAAACTTGCTCTTTTCTTAAAACCGTTCAGATTTGCCCATATAAAGTTTTAGAGCTTTTTTTAATTAGTTGCTTCTTTATTTGCCGAAATTGTATTGCATGAGAAATTACGAGCGTTAAAAATTACTACCAATGGTTCCTAAAGAAATGACTTATATAGGGTAATTCACTGTTTATTTCACATTTTCTTTTGAGACTTTAGGATTAAAAGATAAAGCATAGAGCTCTTGGCGTTGATCAATCCTTGAGGAATGTGCCATGCATGCGACTTCATTAAGTATCGTTAAAGGTGACTGAAGCATATGTTGTCTATACGATGATTCACGGTGGCCTACTCGAATCGGTGGTGCTATAGGGAGGTCTGGTGCCAATTTTCCGACGTTGGAGGGATGGAGGGCTTGGTGAGCATGACGTGCAGAGATCGATCCCATGTGTATTGCAGGGCGCCTGTGACCAGTGTACTACCTGCGCCCCATTTCCTGAACTTAGAATGAATGAGCGCTTTCATAAATATCCTACAATCCCAACTTCTTATTCTTTTTGTGGCGGAGTGCCATGTAAAATACAAGCACAAGAATGCCGAAAAACGAACGAAACTCGGAACCTCAGATACACTTCGAACCTGCAATTACCGCTACCGGTAGGTACTTGGCCATGAGAAAAGATTAGGCAGCAAGTAAAAGTTCAAACATTTCGAATCTATAGTCTGCTTTTCTGAACCGACTTTCACTTAACCTCGGCATAAATAACCGATACCATTTTGGATTGTCCAGCTTACACGAGATCAGTGTGAAACTTTTATTCCTCCTTTCAAGTTCTACACGGTATTCTGAAAAGTTATTGTGGGGTTTTGTTTTTGGTATAGCGAAAGCTAGGTTTTTTTAACCGTGTGAAAACTTCGGCACTGCAGTATATATGCTGACTTTTCTATGGGCACACTTGAGAGAATGAAAATTCAGCATTGCAATAGGAAGAATGTAAATGTTTACGCGTTTTAAGTCGTTTACGGACCAATACTTCAGAGCTCGTGTGTTGTTCTTCTAAATGTTCTTCAGAACGCTACTGGTGTTTTGGTTGTGTCTAAATTTGTGGTCAAAAGTGGCTTCCTCTAATCAAATGTCGGAAGGATATTCCAATAATGCTGAGGAACTTCTGATGGTTGTGGAAGGTGGTGAAGAAAGCTTGAAGGTGACTTTATAAATCGTGGTTAGTATTGCACTTCATGAAGCGCTAAACCAACTAAATTGGTGTACAATTAATGGACTCAATTTAGCTGTTCGCCCGGCTCCACTGTTGTTGTAACTCAGCGGTTCTGGGGTTTCGTAAAATATTTACTCTTGTTGCAGGTGTTACTTGATCAACTAATGGCCTTGCTCAGTCAGCCTTTAAAGTATCATCGCACGGTCGTCTACTATGTATTTGTCCATCTTCTTGAGTATATAAAAGATGAACATATTGCTCATATCATTCAGGTGAGACTTTCCTTCTTCTGATCTTAAAGGACTGGCGCGAGTTATGTCTGTTATGATTTCAGACATTAATGATGAATGATGACGAATTAGTAGACGAACAAGAAAGCGATGCTAATTCCTCTAGTAATGACGACAACGGTAAGTTCATACTCATTCAGAATTTCCCTATTTGTTTCTAAATTTACTGAACTTGTTGTTTACATGGAGTCATGTGCAAAGGTTATGTTGTAGAAACGTTCCTGATGGTCTAAGATTGAGATGCCAAAAAGCTATTGAGTCAAGAAATACGTGACTGGTATTAGAGGAAAGGTCATGAAAAGAGGGTTGAAATGATAGTAGATGCTTTGGTTATTTGGAAGTATTTGGACTCTATGTTTGCTATGTTAATCACTTCTATTAAGTCCCTTTTCTTCTTTACGACTATACAAAGGGTTTCTCTATATTCTTTTTCTATTTGTTATGTTGAGCTTTTATATTTTTGCTATTTGATCGTGTTATTCAGGTGTCGATGAACATGCTGATGATAAAGGATCGGAGTCTGACAGTTTTGTTAACGATGAGGTAATGGTTGTAAGAAAGTATTACTGTAAACTTGGGAAGTCTCTCCTCTAAATAAAATGTGATTTAGTAAGCCTACTTTCTGCGCATTCAGCAGCTGATAATTTCTGTGAGATTTTAAGGCAATGGATTGTGAAACATTTGATCGTCTTGAAACCTCTCTTGGAAGGGTAGCTGTCAAGAGGAAGGTTGGTACCGTAGATGAGGAAGAGGTATTTATTTCTACCAATAAATTTCTGTCACCTATCGCCGTTCACTGACGTATATCTTAAGTGTAGTTGACGAATATAGTTGCCTCAAGACTTACAGTTTTAGTTTAGCAGTGGGTTAAAAGAACAGACATTATATTTTAGTCTTTTATCAAAAGTACTAACTATCACTAAACATGTTTGTTTAGCAGACAGAATTACAGCATATTTCATCTGCATTAAATTGTTTCTTAGGGACTTATAATTAAAATTAACATATAAGGGCTTATCAGACATTCATAGTTTATAATACTTTGGCATCCTTTCCATGGAACTCCCTCATATGAGGGATCTCGAGCCAGTAAGTCGTGAGCCTACGTGGAGCATCTTCAGGTAGCGGATAAGGGTTTAATCGCTGACCAAAAGCGATCTTTGCTTCCCTGAGACGCAGATGGATCCAGAGGACGCACTCCCTGATTCTGCTGCACCAATTTGGCACATACTTTCTGTATTTGCCAGGAGCACTCATGCATGCGTGGGTGGATGTGTTCTAGTTTTGCAGATTGTATTCTGAGACTCAATTCGGCTAAAAGTGTGCAATCAAGTGTCAGGGAACTATATGGGAGGCGGTTAGGAATCGCCTCCAAGAAATGAGCTCCATGTGCACTCTGGGAGAGACTGGCAAGGCACCCGTGAATATACCAAACCCCAACATTCAGAGCTCAGCATGTTATAAGTGGGTATCAAAAAGCTAAACACAATGGAATAAACAGTCCTCATTCCCTTGACCCGGAAAGAGCTCCCGATTCGGCAGCGTTGGGTAGGAGGAGTACGGAGAGGCTGTTAAGATCTCATAGCTATTCTATGCTACCTAAATCGCAAAGGACTAAGGTGACGATCTACACCTACATCGTACGCAAACTTTCATTCAAGACTTCGATAGAAGACTCGATCATGCAAATAAGAAGCTTAAGGTACGACATCATCGCCCTGGCCGAGACGAGAGGACGCCATCCATTCAGCGGCGTCTATGACACAGGAGAAGAAGTGTTCCTCGGAATATGCGACAATAGAGGAGTCGGTGGCGTCGGCGTTTTCGTCAACACGAGTTTTCCATGAACATCGATTCTTTCGAACAACTTAACAACCTGAATCGGACGTTTACGATTAAAAAGATGTGCATCAATATCGGCTTTGACAATCTTCGTCGTTTAAGCGCCGACATCAAACTATGACGAAGAAGAAGTCGAAGTGTTTTATATGGACTTATTCAAGTTTTGTAGGGATGACCGTACATTCTTGAAGGTCATCATAGGAGATTTTAGCGCTAAGATTGGACCAGGAAGAACGTTTGAAGAACGTCGCATTGGTACCCGTGGATTAGAATGGAACGAATAAGTTGAACGGCTGTACGAGTTTATCATGACGACCAAGACAATCAGCGGTAACTCGCAATTCCAGAAGCCCCACCCGTAACGCTGGACCCGGGAGTCTCCCAGTGCAGAATACCACGGAGAAATGGACTCCTTCATAGTAAATAGAATGTTTACCTAACCGATTTCGCTACTCCCCCAAAATCTTACACTGGAACAGACTATCGTCTCCTTCGTGCAAGATTCTATTTCTCGCGGAAAGGAGAAGAAGCCGCTAAATTCAAGAAACGAAGTCGCAAAACCAACATAATCTGGGACTTATTCAATCCATTGCTCGGCTCTTGGGAGGATGCCGTTATCGACAGCATCGACGAAGAATACGATCGGCTCATTCAGCATCTTCACATTATCGCTATGAAAGCTGAGATTTTGAAAGTCACCAAGAAACGTTTGTCTCCATAAGCACTCGAGCTGACACACCAGCGTGGAATGGCACGAGCTTCAGGCATCTAACGTCCGAACTTGCAAAACAATGCAGACTGGTGATAAAAGATCTTAAAGAGAGAAGAGCAGCAGTAATGGTCGAAGCTGCAGAGGCGGGGAAAAGCATTCGTAAAACCCACCGAAGGTTCGCCAATTACAAGACCAAAATGATGGCACTCCGGCGCCGTCGGAACAGTTACAGCGTCCAGAAAGGCAATGGAGAAAACCATTCACGATTACTACTCGGATCTCTTCGATAGCCAGGTCCACCTTCCGTCATATGAAATAAAGGAGGATGGTTATGTTGTACCACCGGTTCTCCCTTCCGAAATCCGACATGTCATTTCGTCGGTGAAAAATCGAACAGCACCAGGTCCAGACATGATAAGACCAGAGCACTTGAAGAACCTTACGCCAGTCCTCGTAAACACACTAGCTCGGATCTTCACACATTACCTGTCTGAATGCAAGGTCCCTACTCAGTAGAAGACCAGCAAGAACGTAATACTGTTCAAGAAGGGTGACCTACACGATATAGACAGCTATCGCCCAATCTGCTTGCTGTCTGTCGCCTACAAGCCTTTTACTCCAGTCATCCTAAATAGGAATGACAGAACACTGGAGGAAGGACAGCCATGTGAGCAAGCAGGGTTTCGGAAAGGATTCAGTAGGATGGACCACATCCACACGGTAACAAGAATCATCGAAGTATCACGAGAGTACAAAAGACCGCTCTGTCTCACTTTCATCGATTTACAGAAGGCCTTTGATTCAATCGAGACAGAAGCAGTCATGGAAGCCCTTGATAGTCAGGGAGTCCCTACTCAGTATATAATGCTTCATGAGCTGTACAAAAGTTTCACAACCAAGATATCGTTCTACAACGATATTATCATTGATGTCAAAAGAGAGGTTAGGCAAGGTGATACTATCTCGTCAAAATTATTTACCCGTACCCTCGAGAACGTCGTGCGATCACGAACAGGGTAGCATGAGAGTGAGAATCGATAGGCAGCAATTACACCATTTTCGCTTAGCCGATGACATCGTTCTTACTACGCTAAACAATAGTCAAGCGGATCGTATGCTTGCCGACTTTGTCTGTGGAAAAACTAATCTTCGACTAAGGTTTACAAAAACGATGTTCTTGAGGAACGGACTGGTTTCGTATGCTCCATTCACGCTCAGCGAAACGAATATCTTTGAATTACGTCTATCTACACAAAGAAATCAACGTGATAAACGACTTAACTCCAGAGTTGAGAACGAGGAAATGAGCGGCTTGGGGAGCTTTCAAGAATATCAAGGATGTAGTGAAGAGGGCGAATAACACCTGACTCTGTGCCCACCTTTTTGACTCCGCGATATTTCCTCTCTTAATAAATGTGTCGGAAACCTGGTCGCTGCGTATGAAAGCAGGATGAAAGGTCACTCGGCGTGAATGCACAGTCGAAAGGACGATGTTAGAAGTATACCGTGTAGCAAGTGAAGAAAGGGATCCAAGTCTCCTACCTGTGTAGACGATCAAAAAGTCGAAGATAAGGTGGGGTGGATACGTAATGTGTATGAACGACAACCTATGAACAAAATCCGTTAGTGATTGGATTCCATGGGATGTCAAACGTACTGCAGGAAGACCGCCGGCCTATAAGTCATAGTTCGTCACGAAAAGCCTAGAAGAATGGTATTATGCTCAACCTGTAGCCCTAGAGCGAGCAGATCCTATTGGGCTACTCTTGCACATTATAGGGAAAAATGAAAGATTTATTGGCTCCGGCTAGAGTCAAACAGCGGTAAGACAGGTGAGAGGTGGTGACATTCTTTCGTAGAGAAAACTTTAAAAGCAGCAAAGAAAAACCAAAGAAATGTTACGATTGAGATATTCAAAGTGAGCCAACAAGCGCAGATGTATTGGAAACGGCTCCTTGGGTATTCAAAATCTATAAGATCAGAAGAGAAATTCGATCGGTATGTAAACAAACATTGAGAAAAGCAATTCAAGATGAGCGGCTGTTTTTAAGACCGATGTGTCCGATTTTGGTGATGCTGAAATGTTCGAGATGGATGATCGGCTTGCGGCTGCATTCAAGTCGATTGCATCGAAAAAGGAGAAGTGCGGTATTTTTCGTTGTTCATTGTAGCATTCAATTTTTTCTCACAACTTTTCAAGGGAAACATGCCGAAATGACCACCTTGATGCACCAGTTGCGGGTAGTTGGGTTGCTTACATATTACTCTTTATGGCTGCGTGTAGTGCAGTTGTCGGAGGCGCCCTTGGACGCACACATGGGATCGATCCTCATGCCCGTGGCTCAGCAAGCCTTCCACATTTCTTCCGGGTCGGCATATTGGTCGGCGAAATGGAACGCTGCGACTTCCATTCTTTAACTTTTGTTTCACATAACTGAATATCTCTGGATTTATTTCAGTAAAATGACTGCCCATTTGGCCTGTGTTTTTCGTTTGAAGCTTGCTGATCTTTTGCTTTTTGTTTTATCCTCTTCGAGCACTCCGGCTAGTGTGAAAGTTGTGAGTTCAATTTGTTAAACAGGTGGCATTCTTATTTTGTTTCAATTTGGTTTGAACTAACATTTTTAGCATATGATCATCCCATTGCTCAAGTTGGCTAAACTTCAGTTAAAACAAGGTCCTGAAAGTGACAATTATAGAAAGACAATGAGTTTGCTCAAAATCATATCACATTTTAAAAAGGTGAGAGCAGCTTTTGCTAAAAAGTAAGAAAACAAGGAAGTTAGTACCGGACGTAATACTTTTCTTTAAACCTTTCTTGTTTTCTTTTGTCCCCAATTGTTGTCTACGATTACTGGTACTCTTTTTTTTAAAGATCCACTTGGCTAACGAGGAAGTAGTGAGTCTGCTGGATCAGTTGGTTCAAGAGTGCATCGGTATTTCCAATCCATTTCTTGTATCTACTGCCGCTACGCTTTCTTCATTCATAGTGCGTCTTTGTTTAGATCATTTGTTTGTTTATTCAATCATTTACTTATTTCATTTAGTTTTCTCTGGGAATGTCTTCTGACGGAGTTCACGCAGAAACTGTTCTGTCTGCATTCATTGGACTTTTTGAGCGTTTTATGACTCAAGAAGATGGTCTCATAGGTTCCGATTTGGCAGTCGCTGCAGTTGTTAAGCACCCGGTATAGTTGTTTTCTTAATGGATTCTTTTTGTTCGAAATATTGCGTAGTACTGTTTCAGGAAGCTTTTGTCGCAAAGAGCAAAGTATTTTTAAGAGCTGCTTTCAATGAGGATTATAGGATTTTTCGCAGGGTAGGTGCTTCAGCCTTGACTTGTATTAGCGTGGAATTTTAGTTCTCTTTTTTAGACAGTAGCGTTGATGTGTCTATCGACCGTTATGGGTAGAAAGGTGCTGCAGAAAGTCCCAGTAGAGAAGTCAGTGGTCAAAGGCATTGCAAAATTGTCATCTCAGTATTTCGTCGCGTCATTATCTCAACCTGAAACGGTTTGTAGTTGATTTATTTGCACTCCGAATTTCACTTAGAATGGATTGACTTTTTTCTGCCCCAATAGCAGTTTTAATCTTTATTCATGTTTACCTACTTTGTAAATCGCTTGTAAATCATTGAGCTACCCATTCAGCTGCCAATAAATTGTGCAGTAGTCCCTAAAGCTTGTCAGGTCTACTAATGGCTACCACTCGATTGAACGGACATGAACTGTAACATATTTTTCATACGGTGCGCTCAACTGTTATTGTTTTCGATGGTAACTTACCCATAGATAACTAGTTGAGTTTGTACTAGTTGGGGTTGTCATTGGGAGTTAAGTATGTTCGCGGCTACCTTGGAAGATGCTGTTAATATTGACCGTTCTTTGTTAGAGGGAACAACGAACTGTATCCCATATTTTTCTTAGTCATTTGGTTTCAGACAAGTTTTTACTCAAATAGAGAAGTGGGATGTGTGGAATTCAATTCAAAACATGCAAACAAGTTTTAGCAGAAATGCAAGAGTATGATTACATGTATATTAGAGGCGTGAAGCTATAGCTATTCGCGTATATTTCACCTACAGAATGCGTTGTCGGGCGTGCCGATGAGTCATGTCGCGTTTTATCCTCGAAGATAAGTTTGGCACAAATTTGCCCGCCTCAGAGGGGTGGAAGGTCTGCACCGAACCAATTACAGATTTATTGTGTTTTGTGGTACACCTCTAATCATTGTCTTCTGAGCACACTGCACATCCCATCTCTTTCGAAAAGTGCGCGGTTAGTGTTTTACTCGATATTTTGTGTTTAGTAATTGATCACATCACTTATGCGTTGGCAGTGTGAAATGCAAGATGATTTGGTGTAGACTAGATATGTGTTTAATGGGTTTTTATTTTAGATAAAACCGCGTTTCTTCGCCAGCGTTCTGAAGTTGCTTGTCTCTGTTGCCAGTGGTGTTGCTGACGAATACAAAGTAAGGTTATTTTTCCTTTTAGACTAGAAATGTTAGGAAGGTACCATTTTTTCATTGCATGGTGAGTTCCTAAGTTGTTTAATCTGTGTGATCACTTAGAAATCTTGGGACAGTGAAGAGGAAATTCTCAGTTTTTCTAAATTATTGCCACTCTGGAGATTTCAGTGCTTTACGAGCAGGCGATAGTTCTTTCGAGTCTGCAGCTGGTGTCACCTTTTTTAACTACTTAGTGCTTAACGTTATTCGTGGCTGTGCCATGAGAATGCGAGAGACTTCTCTGGACTTCTTTCATAGGATTTCATAATATCTCATCGGATTTCTTCATGAACATAATTTAGTCTGTGATCTCTACATCTTTTACGTTTTAAGTCTTTGTCTGTCTCTTTCTTAATTTTCGCATGACCCATTTTCACATCTCTTGTGCGGATCCTAGCGCTTATATTCGATTCGTTTCCGCTCATCCATCATCCTTGACGGTCTCCGAATATTGTGCGTGTGGGTTTGGCTACCTTGAAGAATTTTTTCTTTTTCATTATGAATGTCGTTGAATGCTGGTCAAGTAGATTTACGTGAATTGGAGGGAATTAGGTGATCCCAGACAAATTCGTTACCAATTTGGCAACACCGGACTGATGCTAGGCTTGGTGTGCTCGAGACGGGGTTGAACCAGAACCGTGGTCGTGATGGACGGTGTTCGTATCTGTGGTACAAGGTATTAGTATTTTGGTCTGTATGCGCATTTTACGCAATGTAGGTCGTAGGTTAGGTTATTTTCCCTTTCGATGTCTTCTTCCTCTACAGGGCAACGTTATTCTTTATCCGTTTACCCACTAGTTCTAATTGGGTTCGATTGATTTGGAAATGAAAGTGGAAATGTTTTCAGTATACGTTGCAAAAACATCTCACGTTAGAGCGTTTAACGGAAGATGAAGAAAAATGGAATGAAGTGAGCAAAAAAATCAACTCTGCTTCTCAACAGGTAGAGTCTGAACGGTTCAGCTTTCGATAAAATTTCAAGTCATGAGACGCCCTATGAATACTTTTCTTTATGGTCAAGAACACGTTAGGAAAATAGACATTAGGAAAGGTTTTTTTTGTAGTAACTCCCAAGTCCGACTTTCTATTAACCTCGGCATTGATTGAATATATCTTTCTACTTCTGTTCAGCAAACACGAGGTGCTATTTTACTTCTTTATTTACGCACAAGCTGATGTTTCGGCGGATTTCGCCTTCCTCAGAGCCTGGAAGGGTCAACTTGACAGCAATCCATTCGGCCAAACACCTCCATAACCAAACAAAGAAAACGCTAAACCAAGATTTCAATCATATTTAGCATAGCTCTGCACACTCACCGCTTTCTATGAGTCTTCCACTGTCGCGTGAAGACCGACCGCACCAAATTCACATGGAAGAGTAATGTGCTCTTCCCATCAGAATAGCAGGTTTATATACTGTCCAATATCGCGCGTGATAGCGAGGCATTCCTCCCTGCGGTTCATTTTCGGATACTTGGAATTAATCCAGAATGCCTCGAGAGTTTTTCGCGCCTGTGTTCTTGATTCGTGTGCGAGGATCGTGACACATACTTCAAAGTCCTCACCGTTATGTCTCTGGGTCCTATGCGTGCCTAGCGGTGTATTTGGTCTATGTTTGCCGGCTAGGTGTTCTTTTATGCGGACACAGAGGGGTCTACCCGTTTCGCCAATGTATTCGTCACCGCACATCTTACAGGAGATCAGATAAACTATACCCGAGCTCATGCAATCACCGTCTCTACCACTGGGGCAGATTATGCAATTTTGAGTTGCACATAGACGGTCATATAGGTGGTTACGAACTAGCTGGCGCTTAAGCTTACTCGGTGGTATTTCAACTACGCTTACCGAATTTTCTAAGCCCGCCCTTCTCAAGCAGCGTTTTATAGCTGCACTTATATCATTTGAGATGAAGGGTAGGATAAACGGGACCCTTCTATCGCTAGAGTTGTCGTTTGGAGGCCTACGATTTCCTCTACACCTATTCTGAGCTACAGTTTCGTAGCCATTAGAAACGGCTATTTGCCGTACCAAGTTCCGGGACTCCTCTCTCTGCTCTCTTCCCGTGCACACGTTGGTTGCTGTTCGAAACATGTTTCTTATAAGCGCCCTTTTCGTGTGAGAGGGGTGAGAGGAGAGGTAATGAACCAAGATGTTTTTACTACTTGGCTTTCGGTACCACTTTGTAATGTAGCCATTTTCTGATAGGTGAATTTGTACGTTCAAAAATGGAAGCCATTTTTCTTTCGGCTTTTCTCGGGTGAACTTGATATACTCTGACTGTGCGTTTAACAATTCGAANTGGTATTTCAACTACGCTTACCGAATTTTCTAAGCCCGCCCTTCTCAAGCAGCGTTTTATAGCTGCACTTATATCATTTGAGATGAAGGGTAGGATAAACGGGACCCTTCTATCGCTAGAGTTGTCGTTTGGAGGCCTACGATTTCCTCTACACCTATTCTGAGCTACAGTTTCGTAGCCATTAGAAACGGCTATTTGCCGTACCAAGTTCCGGGACTCCTCTCTCTGCTCTCTTCCCGTGCACACGTTGGTTGCTGTTCGAAACATGTTTCTTATAAGCGCCCTTTTCGTGTGAGAGGGGTGAGAGGAGAGGTAATGAACCAAGATGTTTTTACTACTTGGCTTTCGGTACCACTTTGTAATGTAGCCATTTTCTGATAGGTGAATTTGTACGTTCAAAAATGGAAGCCATTTTTCTTTCGGCTTTTCTCGGGTGAACTTGATATACTCTGACTGTGCGTTTAACAATTCGAAACATTTGTCCATTTCCTCTTGTGTTGAGCAAAGGACAAAGCTGTCATCTATATATCTACAGCAGAGTAACGGACCGAGGTCGATTACTGGCGCTTCCACCTTAGATATGAATGCAATGGCAAGGCTTGGTGCCAGTCGTTGTCCCATTGCCAGCCCTCTTATTTGTGCGTAATATCTCCCGGACCATCTGAAGATTGAGCAGTTTAGGCACTCCTTTAAGAGTGTCATCAACTGCTGAATTGAGAAGCTGTACATGTTTATTGCTCCTTTGTGTTGCATAAGGAGCTCGCTTATGGCTTGCATAGCGGAGTCATTCGACACGTTCGTATAGAGGGCAGTGACGTCGAAGGACTCCACCACGTACGCGCTGTTGGGTCGCGCGTTACGTAGGCGATCCAGGAACATTTGCGTGTTCGTTATATGAGCTGGAAGATACTTCAACAGCTGAGTGAGTATTAGGGTTAAAAACCATGTTATCCTATCCGTTGGCTCGTCCACGCAGCTAATGTTAGGTCTAACCTTAAATAACGATGGATCGGTAGGCGAGATCATCGCTGGATAATAACTTATGGGTTTTGATAACTAAGTACAGGACGGGACATGTTGGTAAGTCAATTTTGAGATGAGAGATAACTGATGGTTTTAACCCAACCGCTCTTGCCACCTTAACCCATTCGGTGTTTAATTTTCGGTATTGACTTTTAAATTACTTCTTAGACGACGGACGATAAAGGGAAGCATCTTTAAGGTGCTTTTCCGTTATCTCAACATCTAACTGATGGGGAATTACAACGAACTCTCCACCCTTATCACTAACCGATAGTCTTATGTTTTTGATCTTATCAGCTCTCGTACCTCCCGCATACCACGTTTTTGTATTTCAGTGAGGTTGGAGCAGTATCTTTTTGCGCGATAGTGATAAAGGACTTTGAAAGTTTCATTCGTAAACATCCGAAATTTAACATCGATTTTATTAATGGGCTCTTGTCTGAAGAACGATTGAGGAAATGGTGGTAGTGGTATTGCTCCTACTTTTTGTTGTTCGCGCCTATTTTGCGCTTCATCCCTGGTTTTTTGCGGAGTCTATCTTGAAGTTCATGTAAACTACATGCGACCCTACGCAAGGTTACCTTGGAAATGGGTTCAGATGGTGAGAAACTCGGTCCCAATTTTAAGGTTTTTGTGTTTTGGTTTTTCGGTTTTTTTGTGTTTTCGAAATATTTCTACGCTTTGTGCTAGCTGATAACAACACCGACTTCTGCACGATGTGCGCGATGATGTATGTCCGGAAGAAATACAAGTTGTTACCACCGGACATTATCATTATATCCACCATCATCATCGTGTATAAAAGGGCATCACTGAGTAAGGATGCCTCATTCAAGGAGATGGCTCACCGAAGAAGACCTGACTCGACACGATGGCGAAGCTACCACGTCAAGACGAATAACAAGCGAGGACCATCGACTCGAATCATCGGCTCTCAGGAAGACGAAGACGTCGAAACGTTAGCCGAAAATAAACATCATTATCAACCTCGTGTAAGCTCACCAAAGAAAGAATACATATTGATTAGTGATACCGAGGTTCAAGGAAAGTCGGTTTCGAAATATTTCTAATGTCTATCATTATTGTCATTAAACATCATTATCAACCTCTGTAAGCTCATCAGAAAAAGAATACATATAGACATTAGAGTTTATATTACCACAAGCGCTACATTTCCAGGTGTGTGGCAAGTCGCCAACATCCGTACTGCATCAAATACAAAAGTCACTCGCGTAGTTGATCTTTTCACTATTGTTATCCCTATATTTAGTTGTTGTTGTTGCACTTCATTGTTATTTCTTGTTATCGTTATTAAAGTTGGCGTTCTCCATCACTATTAACCAATTAAAACTAGGAACTATAAACCCTTCGCCAATAAATATTTTCGATCAGTTTTAAGAAGCATGGACACTACCGAGTGTGGGCATACTGCGGTTTCTTCGCCAGCATAACTTCCAAGTTGTGCCATTAGACTATCGTCTAGCGATGGATAACGGAATGAGGTGATTTAGAAAAGGAAAAAAACAGGACTAAGAGCAATATGACTGCAATAATGCTGAGATATTTGCAAAACTCCGGACCGCAGGTGTCTGCAGTGGGGTTCGTACATGCTATTATCCTTTCCGGGTGCTAGCGTGTTTGCCACCACACCATGCAAGTCATTTGTTTTGCCTTTCTTTTCCTTTTCTTTCTCTCTTTCTTAGCATCATTTTAGTTATATTTCACAGTATCCCCTGTGATGAAAAGAATAGGCAGTAAATGAAAAAGTAATCGCGAAGAGCAAAATGTTTCATTCAGTAGACAAAGATGAGCATGATGGCGAAAGTAACTTGACGGCAGGTCCAATACGAAAGTTGTACAAAAGGCTACCGTTCTAAATGTTTACACTCGTATAACGTGTTTCCATTAAGGATACTAAGAGGGCATATGTAATTTGAGAACGTGAAAACGTACTAATATAAATGATTAGATCAACAAGCAGTGAATGGATTTGGACTGGCAAACAGTCTTAGCACCATATGGCTGGCAGGGTTTTCCCGGTAAGTACAAAATAGCAGAAATTGACGGAATGATTACCGTATGATGAAAGATCTGCAAATTTTGAAAATACATGGTCAGAGATTAGTGGACACTTTACAGCACATCCTGAAAATGATGCTGTACATATCTAATTCTACACTGTGAGTAATGAGGAGTGTGAGTGAATGTGATATGACTGAAACCTATGCACATATTTTGGAAATGAGAAAGTCAGGTCATCTATTGGAATACGCTACACGCTAATGTTTTCCCTACTTTTCAGCAAACAATCGAAATTCGACTTAGATTAAAGAGCAACTACAACAGTACTGAGTTCAGAAGTAATTAACTTCTTTAGCGGTGGTGGTAGTGACCACTTCACTTCGCCGTCTCTCACTTCCCGTTCGTGGGTCAGCACCCGGCAAGAAGTCATGCGATTGTGCTACTCGAGTAACTCGGTCGTAGGTTGCGTTGCCTACGTCAGATCCTTCGGAATCCGACTCGTACTAAACATAACATAACGTTTAAGAACGCAAATATTGCAACAATCTCATCTAAGCCTATAAACCAAAACAAAAAATTTACATTCGGAGTTAACAGACTAGCAATTTATTGCGGGTTGCTCTTCGAGTACTTAATTCATCCACAACAATTCCTTTAGTTTTTTCCCAGATCTTTTTGTTATATAGCAAAAATCAAGTCAATTTCCTCGAAGAATGTCTGGTCATGGAGCTATGGTGAGGAGGTTATCAGTCCAGACGTGTTTTGGCACCCCTTTCTTCCTGCGGGAACAAAAAGATTTCTAACTGATTCACCATGGCATTTGCCCTTCCGTGATCTCCATCCAAGGATGCACCGGCATCGGCAGCATGTCGGAAATGATCCGAGGATGTTATGGCGTACTGCTCGGTATCAGTTTCCAGTGGGCCATGTGAGACAACCTGAAACGCCCAGAGCTATAAAACAAATATACATCGGAATAACTAGTCAACAATTTTTTTACAAAAAAAAACCAATGATTTCCAGAGGAAAACAAATGGACCGAAGTAGAATTTAGTGCGAAAGAAAGTAAACGAAGTCGCGGATAGTACACCCTTCTGGTGAATGGTTATAGAGCTTCTGTAATCCACATCCCACAAATGGATAAGACCGTTGCGAGAATTCACGAGTTTCCACTAAGCACTGCTCAATGTTCAGTTAACTACCGTTTACAAAAGTCTCTTCTCCTTTCTCAAAAATTTTCACCACTTTTTAAAGAGAACCTGGCTTCGGCTCACGATGTTGCCCATCTCGTCACGTACGGTTGTCGTTCGGATCTCACGAGTCGTTACGTCAGTAGTGACTCGTCGCTCCACCTCTTCTAGTGATCCTCCAGAGGAGACGGAAGCTCCGTCATCGAGATATGCACCGAGTGCTGCAGCATTATCGTGGCCCATCATTTCGTCCTGAATTGATTTATTATCTTCGAAAACTAATTAAATAAATGGAGTTCTTGTAAATTTGTCTTATTCTATTCACATGACCCGTCTTTACATCTACTGTGGATATCCCAGCACTTGCATTCTATTTGGTTTCCCGCATTCACGAAGATCTTCCAAATTTTGCGTGTGGCTTCGGTTGCTGCTTGAAGATCATCGTCTCATTTATGAATGTCATTGAATTCCGATCTCCGATCAATTGAAGCCGATCTTCTGTGGAGTCCTGGTGCAGCCGTATTAAAGTGGTCCTAATTGAAAAGCAGAGAGTGAATTTTTCCTAAACAGGTCTAATGCCAATTTGTCGAACCCGGAGAGACAAGAAGGTTGGTGAACCTAGAGCGGGTCCAACCAGCACCCGTATTCGTGATAAACAGCTCACTATCACTGCGTTACCTGCCTCCTAATAGAGAGATTATAGTACAATATTCTGTTAAACTAGAATTGAAATTTTATTCAAAATTTGTAAGTGGATGAAATTTTGGGCAAGTTAGAGTTTTGCAGTGTTTTGTAGTAAAGAATTACGGTGTCTGCTTTTAGTTACCATCTATCCCATAAAGTATTGTATTTTATCACTCTTTATCACAAATTCATTATAGGCAGCTTATCTTATTATCGAAAAAATGATCACTGGAATATTCACAATAACAAGTGGATGTGGCAAAATATGGAACCACTCACTGCGTAGCCTGGCTTAAGCTTGGCGCGAGGAATTGTGTAATAGTCGGATCCGAGTATCTCTCGACCACTGGCGCTGCCTTCGCTAACGCCACGTCTGCCGAAGCAACTGAAGAAATTCAACCATATTATGTTCTACACCTCTTTAGAGTAAGTTCTTACCAAATCACGATAAAAGGACGTAACGTCCACTTTAAATGTGAAAATCCTTACCGGCATCTGGCACAGAGGTACAGGCAACACAGAAGCGTTAGCAGAAGGAACAGAAGAGCCAGAATCACCATCAAAATTAGACCAACATTCGAAGGTGCAACCTAAAAATTCGGAACGCTGGTTGAACTCGTTTAGCACTGATCATGTTTTTTTATTACTTGAAACACTTAGCTACTATTGTAACTCATTCTTCATTGTTCTCCAGACAAAGTAAACAGTCACCTCACAGAATTCTCCTGAATATCCATCAACACACGAGCAGGTTACATTATTGGTAACGCTGTCATGTATACAGTCTCCATGACCACTACACAAACCACACAACAGAGCAGCACATATGCGTCCAGGTTCGGCAGGATTGCCATCAGTGTATCTATTACGGAGTTGATGAATAACATAAAACGAATCAGAAATATTTGTGACTTCATGCATCGACTCCAATGCATAATCTGTTTACAATAACTTAGCACATCTACTTAAATGAAATGAATCTCAGTTTGCAGCGAACAGTATAAATTGAAATGAAATCCTAGTACGATGAAGTGAATTTTTGAAAGCCAGATATCTTCTTGTTTCAAATTCTTCTATATCGATGCTCGTATCTCCAACGGTGCAACAATTGAACAAGTCGGATTTCATAAAGTAAATATAACCCATATGATTCGAGTTTAAATTAACGAAGCCTTTCTATAAGTTTTTAAAGTTCTCAAATACTTCAACTTTGGAAAAAACTATAGCAGTTATCGAAAACCGGGTCCATGAAAAATGGATTAAATAAGAAATCAAAGAAAGACTTGAAACTCATTCTTCTATGTCTCCACTGTTTCTCCTTCACAAACAGTAGCCATTAAGTAACAAAAATATCAACGTTATGATATGACAGCAGTGAAAAAAGTCTGCGGAGACCTAACTAATTATAGAATCAAGAAAATGGAACGATAAATAAAGGATGAAGTGGTTGATTCATGCCAGAGGGATGCGGCTAGCATGCGACTTCACTAAGCATCATAGAGGTGACCGAATACATTTTTTAGATCATATTATTATTCCCGGAGCCCTACCTATGTACCAACGCAGTGTTTCCTGAGAATTTTGTCTTTTTAATGAATATCGTTGTTGGTAGACGAGTAGTATCTTTCTGGAATCTTAGGTGAGCTGTACTAGGGCGTCCCCAGGTTTTTACTACAGTTGGCCACCAGCTTTTGTGGATTACAGAGAGTTCTTCTCAAGTAATCCTCATAGCACTACCCTCTTGAGTTATTGAGCTGACATGAAGTTGGTATGCAATATTTATTCCACCAATGGTTATCAGCTCAGTAACACAAGGACGGATCATTTGTGCCCAGGTTAGATAAAAAACGGCTTCTAGAGATGTAATCCTCATAGCAGCTTATCGACCTCACAGTGATGGAATTCATTATTTTTTGATGATGCAAAGTCGAACATGTGTATTGCCGGACATCTTTAATCACTGTTCCACATGCCTCGAAACAGACAATATTCAGAACGTTAAGAAAGAATGCAAGGTCGAGGCTTTCAGGATTAGGATTAACGAGGGAGGATTAGGGTAACAAGATTCCAGCTAAGTTATCAGCATTCCTTCGGATAAATGCAAATTTCCAACATATATTGATTTCCCTGTCATCGTGCACATCACGACCGTACGTAGGTGCTTTCAGTGACTTTTCAACACCAAACAAGGTCAAAGTACGATTTGTATAAGCCTGAAGATTCTCACCCGTCAGGACATCTGCACTTGTATCCAGGCCTCAGATCGGTACAAATTGCTGCAGCACTGCAGTTATGCAGGCCTAAGGCGCATTCGTCGACATCTATGTGCCTCAAACAAATCGTATCGCCAAGACCGGCCTGCAATTGCTCAGTTGTTCGATCGACCTATGAGTTCAACAACCTCCAACACCAATTCTCATCCACCCCATCGAAAAGAAAAAACATTCCAAAATTTGGACGCTATTATATCAGATTTTACAAAAATAAGAGTCGCATTTTCCAACTCCCTAAAGGACAGAGTTATCCAGTCATTCGAATAAGCAGTTCCACATCTCTTTAAATACGTGAATTCATCGACGTAATGTCGAATTTCTTCTATATTCGAGTATTCGAATAAACTTTCGGTATTACAACGTTCCTTCTTAATATTTTCATCTTTATTTCTTAGATAACGATGTTTGCCCTTGTTTGGACAACTGTGATCTCAGTCTTCTCATGCATTCACGAGACAGACCTTCCTCACTTAAGCAGCATGTAAAAGCTAACCCTATGTCATAGGACACAAACTAGAATTCCACGCACGAAATTCGTAGTCGTCAAGTACGTACGTGTAAATGTACGGTTTCACATAATCAAAGTTGAGCACATTGTCATAAAATTTCCATGATACCGAGCATTTGCATAGAGATGATTGCTGAGAAGAACTAATTTTTAGGCGAACTACATTGACGAAGTGTTAGGAATTTTTGCTCTAATGGTCGTCTACCTTCCTTAAATGTCAAAGTCAATGTCTTCTAGCTAATGAGCATACGAGAATCACCCAGGTTTCTCGTTCACTATGATACCGCATTGCGACTCACCTCTGATAATCGTTCTGATTTACGAAGATCCACAAAACCAGGATTACAGTCGCATCGAGCCTGGATAGAAAATAATTTGCGTCACCATTCTGAGCAACTGGAAGCCAGGGATGTAAAACCAAAAACAGCACAACAGCACCTGAGCACCAACATTCTTGCAGGTGGAATTAAGTGGACAGAAATGAACATCAGAGCAATAGTCGATAGTACATATCGACCCAGGAACCGCACCTTCAGGCGCGGCATTCGCGTACGGAGGAATACATTCGCATCTAAATAAACAAATAAATTTATCAAAACAGTTTCGCATTACGTTGAGGAGATCTTACTTGTAGAGGTAATCGAGGTCAATACATCTGGCATCTGGAGAGCACTCGTTCAGTTCTGCTTTTTCGCATTCATTAACACCAACGTACGACAAGCATTGTCTTCCTGGATGAGCAGGGTTCAGATCGCGATAGCCAGCTGGGCACTGACATCTAAAACTGCGTATACTATGTATATATATATGTGTATATATATACATACATATATGAAGAAAGTTTACTTTCAAACACGCTGAACATATTTGGAAGTTTCGTAGTGGACATAAGTCTTGAATATGAAAAAAGCCAGGGGTCGATTGGTGTCGACAATTTCCACTTAAAAAGTCGGAAAATGGAAACCAAGGCATAAGTTTTTTCTGAAAGCATTAGAACATATGGAGAAAATGGACCTCTTTATCGGTTTCTTCATGTACAATGTCTGAACAATAATTAAGCACTAAAACACTCCCGAAACAAAATTTGCACAAGGAAAAGGTTGTGCAGACCTTTTGCATTTATCGTATAGAATCATCTGCTGCAGCATGTTATTCGTGGAAAATCCATGCTGCAAAGGCGGTCAGATCAAACTGGATGGCTCTCTGATTGCAAAGATCACTTCGTACGTATACCACGGACGATCAATAAATATGAAGAGCAATATGAGGAATTAAGCAGAGGAAGGAGAATAACTTAAGCGGCATTCTGGCCTCTCAATGAAGACACCGAACAACTGAAGGACCCAGAAATACGTGTTCATCTTTTCAATTCAACGCGCCTCCCAGGGCTCTATTATGCTGCAGAGATGTGGACTGATAATTGAGCTACGTCAAGAATACTGCGCACTACTTACAGGGCGGTTGAACGATGTCTCCTGAAATACAAGTGGACAATCAATATTTAGCCAATCCCATCTTTGGGATCCACCAGAATATATATCGATAGCGAAACACAGCTAGGCCGGTCACATAATGAGAAGAACAGACTACAAGTGGACGAAAAGAACTGTAGAGTGGACTCCACGAGGATGCATGTGGTTCCAAAGGACGCCACCTTCACTCTAGATGGACATGCTCGCAACCAAAGTCTATCAGATATACTCGCAGTTGCAACTATTTTAAAGATCACGACACGGTATGAGACTCGCACCAACCACCATGAACAACGATTTCCAGGATTTCCAAGAAACGGATGGCAAATGTGCTATGGTCCGCACAACTCGTGAAGACGAGCCATCCAAGTTTTCAAAGAAGTAAGCGATTATTTGCTTCAACTTCTTGAGCGCTTGTGAAATCTTAACGACGGAAAATGGTTGTCAAAAAATCTGCAAAATTCACTGGAAAGTCATAACATGTTCCATTGGCATGGATCACACCAAGGCGATGAACTGCTGTGTGAAGAGCAATTCCGCCTTTGCCTCTTCTAATATGCTGATGAAACCTTCCACTAATCGACTCCCTTCGGTTCTTTAAGCAGCTCGATATTTATTTAACAGAAAGTATTCAGCAATTAAGCCGTTATCACAAACATCTCTAGAAGATCAGTGGAACTTGAGTTGAGCAGTTTAGTTCGATAAGTAAACTTTTGCTTAGTTGGCGAAAATAAATCGATTTTGACAGTTCCTGCTGCGAGTACTAAGCTTTACCACTTGCTAAAAAATATGTTTCTGAAGTCAATACCCACATTACTTCACAGACGAGCTACAACACTGCTTGCAAAAGAGCTAGCACACAAGATATTGACATGGATTTGTGTTCCGTTTCTGGACTCAGATCTGTCTATGCTCATGTTTTTAGGTGCCACACAGACATTTAGAAAAAAAAAGCTCTCACAAAGCATGTGGTGTTGATATTGCTCTAGTTGCTGATTGGGTTTATTCTATGTAGAAAGTGTTTAACCTTCGCAGTTGGATTATATCTCAGAAGGAGAAGTGGAATATCTTCCATTGCTCTAATTGAAAACAAAAAAGTAATTTCAATAGAGAACATACGTGTAACCTCTTCCTAACGGAGTGCATATAGCGTTCGGATGGCAGTCGCTTGCGTAGCAGGACGAGAATGGGTTCGCTTGATCAGGAGATATGAACAGTTTGGAATTCCCGATCTGAATCAAAGCAAGGATTTCTTTGTAACCGTTGTCAGCAAGTTCTTTACGATGACGAAAGTAAGTGAGAAACCCCAGATCACATGAAAATTAAAAGAACCGGTCTGTTAACGAGAAAACCAACTTCATAGTTGTTCTTCTTTGCAATGTAGTTGATGAGATCAGTGAATACCGCTGATGGCTCACTAACTGAGCCTCGAACGAAATGAGATGTGAAATTGTACAGTAAACCTGAGACCCATGACTGAAAATGCCAGATACGAAAAAGTTTAATACAGAAACTGTATCTACATTGTGACTCACAACTACAGTAACATCTAGACAATATGCTCTCAAAGAAGATTACTCTATAAAATAAATGCGCAAAAGTCATACTATCTTCTCATTCTATTATGTCGTTTTGAAATAGTGCTTCACACGAATATTGGTCGGTTTTACCATATTCAGCGAACAAGCTTGCAACCTTCATATATGTGAGATGTGAGACAACCTTCAACCTTCACCTTCATATGTGAGATGACTAACACGTCTTGATCGATAGTAGTCAGTGGTTTGACTTCAAAGACGTCACGTTGGAAATAGCTGGATTCACATTTAGATTCGCCAACAACTTAGTAGTCCTTCCCTTGTCCTTATTGAGATCAGCTATTAGTTGACCGATCGTTCGAGGACGATGTAGAACGCCAATTTTCTCTTATTCTCGTATGAATTCCATTAGCTCTGTGGATGACGGCTGCCAAACAATGAAATGAATGAACGACCTGCAGACAGAATGTGCAGACGGTTCATTGAAGTGCTCACTTAAGTAATGATTCCATAGGAAAATCATAGGAAGTTACCAAAGTGCAACACAGTTAATAGCCAATTGTACGTTTAAATGACCAACTGGCGCATATAGGGCACACTGTATTTTAAAAACGATGACGACCTCTTCTATCCAAGATAGGTTTGCTATCCTCTAAAAATGACTGATTATTGGTTGTGGTGATAAGCTGAAGCCACGACACGGTGAAAAAGCCCGTCCTGCTCGACTAACACAAACACGTTGCACCGATATGATTTGTAAACCGGACCCATTTATGCATCCAAATGTAAAACACATTAGAACGAGTATAATACGTGAATATTGATCGAATTTTGTAAACAATCTATATGCAAATTTAGCGCTCAATTTGGCGCACAACAATGAATGAAACCGTACGGCATTTCTTGTTGATGGTTCTTCGATGTCGTTCACTTCAGCGGTTACGAATCCTTTGTGCAAAGGAGTTTCATTGTAGCTTTGAGCGAGTCCTGTTTCAAACCTGCAATGCTTCTAAATTTACATAAATATGAGCTAATTACTGAGAACGGAGAATCCATTTAAAATAGATGGAATGGATAGCGCAAAATGAAACGATGAAAATGTCACCGACTACGAATTTCACCCACTAAACAAGTCTCACTACAATCGAATACGTGAAAATGACAGCTTGTTCACAGCGAACTTGATGGATACGCGAAATTTACATTCGAAGCCAAAATGACCTCATCTCAAAAAACTCGCTATTTTGCACTAACGCGCTTGTTTAACTTTTATTTTTATGCTTTCCTTTCCTTTCTTGTACTTTCCGAGTATTTGGATCCTCAAGCAGACCAGACCGAGGGCACATAGCTGACCTGCTAACAAGATCCTTGTGCTTCTCATCTCTTGGATTTGCAACATCCGGTGTGAACTTCAATGGTGTTACGCCGTCCCGAATAACGTAGAGTGGCAGATTGAACGACTCCACCTATAACTATTGATACTAAATAACTTTTAAGGCATGTCGAAAAAACACATGGAGAAAAACGATTCATGGAAAACCATAGACATGAGTTGATTCGTCCATCTCAAAATTACATTTACTCTGCAGATATTTCCGTTTCTAGTAGACCACTAATGCACTAGTCTGAAATGTTGGCAAGAGTATTGACAGATTATTACTTACACTCCGACAAGGACTTTGTGCATCCTTGCGTTTCTGTCCTTTTGGGCATCCGCAAAGTTTTCCAGCAATACACTCTTCGCCAAGGGCTTCGTTGCAGAAAAATACTCCACAAGGTGTGCCCGATACTTGACTTTCTACTCTGAAAAGAAGAAAACACTACTGCTTTTATCGCTCATCAATTAGCATTTAACACTTAAGTGCTCTGTTTTCAGACACCCGTAGTGACTACAATACTACAGAAAAAAGATCGTAGGGGCAAGGTAGTCAATAAACCGGTGCTGAACTGCCACGAATTTCCTTAGTGTAGGGAAAAAATCAGTCGCCATAACTTCCCAAACATAAAATTCACTTCATTTTGTGTAATTAAATGGATAAAACAGTATAAAATGCTAGGTTATGAATTTGAGGAAAATCTTCTCACCTGCAAGGATCAAGCAGAGTGAAGTCATCAGCGACCTTCAGCTTATCAATACGTCCACCGTTTGCTTTCACCTATAAAACAATTTTTCCCTGAAATAATCCACAAGACAAAGAAACCGGCAGCAGAAACTTAAAGACTCCCGCATAAGATTATTCGAGAAAGAGGAAGAAACATGAGAATACTGATGAAGAGACTAATGAGGCATAAGTTCTGTTTTGTTGAAAATATTCGTAGAATATCAGAAGGTAAGCTCAACTACAATTGCAATGTTTGGTGGAAAAACTGATTCAAGCTTGATTGATTGATTCAAACTTGTATTTTGGCGATGCGCAACATATGGCCCCACACGAGTTTGGGACGGTACTAAATTATTAGTAGTTATGGGCGTTGATTTTTCGAAAACAGACAGTATCTATCCGTTGAATAATCAATTATTGTCAACGGATAGTCACATCAACAACAACCGCCCTGTATAACAGAGCACTACCGGGTGAGCATGTCTCGTCCATGCGGGGGCTTCGCTAAAGGAAACCCGTGCGATTACGAAGGCGCCACATGGAGATAGCGAACAACTGTGAACCACCGACTCGGATCATCGGCTCTAATGAAGACGACGTCGAAACGTTAGCCGAATAAAACTAATTTATTAACCTCGTTCAAGCTCAACAATCTATACGCATGCAGACAATAGTTTTTCGATAACTAGACAACTAGTAAAGAAGACCTCTTTTTGTCGCTTTACGACTGTAAAGGCTTCTGTGCTAGTATTTATAGTGTGTTATTACGGATTAACCGTTAAGTCAATGAACCCATATTTGATAGATTTTTGTATGGTTCGAAATACAAAATATAGCTTTTCTGGGACACGCCCGCCACCACATCCCTGTTTGATAAGCTATCGTTTGATTATGAGAAGCATGGAAAGATGTTTATGTGCGCTAAAATAAACCAGCTGCCGGAGAATGACCTATTCGTAGCTCATATCGGCCACTTAGGGAGCCGCGCATGACACACGGTCCTATGTGTTAGACGAATAAAGTCCAACAAAAACCGAGAAAACTATATTTCATTCAGCGATAACTAGTGAACATAAGAATGTTACTACCCAAAAAAGTTTTCTATGTGAGCAAGAAAAAAGTGTGAAACAATTTGCGAACGGCAATGAACGAATTGCAAATTTACTTACTTGTTCGGCAAAATTCTGGAATACTTTACACTTGTCCACATCCTCCGCTCCATACAATTTCACCAAGCCACTAACAAGAAGACCAAGATTCCATGTGCTGAAAGAATAGATGAGTTTGTTGTAGTCATATGGCAAGTAAGGAAATATGAAGAATGAAGATATGATGAAGAATATGAGAAAAAGTCAAACAAATCGACCAAAACGTTAGACAATGTTACTTCGAGGATTTAAAGAACACTGACTTAAATAAGTAACACTTGATAATAAGCAACGTCAGTGAATAGAAGCTAGGATTCGCTACGGACTACGCCATTCAAGAATTGTTTATACAAATCGAATGCACCGCCTGTTTGGAAAGAATGACTTATTGGTCATGTGAAGAGTCAGGGGACACCCTACCACATATGCACAAAAAGGGCGAGAAAAATATGAGATTTGTCAGAAGAAGATACCATCACCATATTTAGAAGGGCCTAAAAAGCCAACCTGAGAAGAAAGTCGCATTTTGTAATGAGATAAACTACTTGGATATCATCTGTAGCATTACAAGCCCTACATTTGCTGAAAAATCACCACTTGCTTTTCACCACAAAATCACTATGGGTGTCCAATTATTATATAATATCATAAACAACATGTCCAACACCAACCATCGATATATGCCTATGCAGGTTTTATACCGACTCCTCAGCACACGTAAGAGATTCAGGTATTTCAACCAATTTACAAGATTTATATCTCCAAATATTATGACGATCTCAGCATTTCTTTCTCTTCGTCTGATGCCTCGCATCCACCATCCACAAAGGTATTTCGATAGGCGTGTAGGTTCGGTTGCAAATTGAGAGTTTGTTTTTTTCTCAATGTTATGGAATGTTGGTCATTAGCCGCAAACACGCTTGCTCATCTCTTAGATGTTCGTCTTAGGATAAACTTGCTTCGTTTTCAGTTCAGTTCACTGTTCTCGTCTCATCATTCGTCGAATCCTCTCACCACATATTAGTACAAAGTATTTCTCTATATCTAAAAAATCTATTTTTCTTCCGAAATATATATACCCCTGAATCTCAAACGAGATATTTCCAGACTGAATTTAGAAAGATGATTTAACGCTATGCACGGCTATATTTTATAGAAAGTCGTTAATTCCAACTAATAAAAAAAGATTGAACATCAAATAACACATTACTAATAATAAAGAATGTCTCCTTAGGGCGCGCGTAGCACAGTGGTTGGAGGCGCCCTGCAACATACACGTGGAATCGATCCCTGCGCCCATGGCCCACCAAATTGGTACTACACTTCTCTGGGAGGATAGCAACACAGGCTCAATACATAGGTAGGCCACCGCGAGTCAGTGTAAAGGCCATATATGCATCCAATCACCTCTTAATGAAGACGAGCGCATGGCGCATCAGTCAGGGGTTGATCAGCTCCGAGAGCTTTACCCTTTTTTTTAACCTCCTCGGAGTACGCATAGTCAATAAGCTAAAAGAGGAACCAAGTAAAAGATTCCATTCCAGCTCCATTTCTCAGCGTGACGTCACTAAGTGACTAACCGATATGAGCCTTCCATCACCAGTGGCTATGTGGTAGATACCACGCCGTGACATACCACAAAAAAACGTGTACCACATATGTGCACCACCGACACAGATCTCGATCGAAGTGTTCAAATATATATGATCAGCTTTTCACTGTCACTATTATTATAAGCTATTTGAATTCTCAAACATTCTAGCGACTTCACCTGTTTTCAACTTTCGGATTTGTGATGTAGTTCACATCTGTAGTGACGTATCTCGGTGAGATATCGGTACGACGGAAAACTTCGCCAACACCCTAAACGAACTACCACTGCTCAAAGGAATTAATGAGCATACCTATAAAAGTATGAAGAAAATAAATAACTACAACACGTCCATTTTTAGTGCAATTATACCTATCCAGTGCCTAATATTCTATTAGAAATTTAAAGAAAGAAAAACGCGGAAGGAAAGAATGAAATATGAACGCAATAAAAATGAGGTTTAAATGTACGGAATTTCAATGAATGAATTTCCTGAAGAGGTAAAAACAATAAATGTCTAGGACAATGAGATTAAGAAATGAAATTGCCTATTATAATCGAATTTTATCGGTTAGTAAAGCTCATAGTGACGAATCATAAATATTATACATACATAGCATTACTCAAAATGAAGGTAAATGAAAAGACCACTTAAGTTTGGTGGGCTTCCAAGGTCACCCAAACCAACCTTGACAAAACTGTCGACGACTTCCACATGCTCAGGACTCGTAGGCTTACTGAAGTCAGTAGAGTAATGCAAAGGCTCATCGTCAAGATCGATTACGCGCACGACGATAGGCACCTAGAAAAATCTACAGTTCACTAAGAATCCACAATGCATTAATTCCTGTATGAAGCAGAAACTCAACGTGAAAACAGCCCCCGAAATTAAACAAAGGATACGGTCATTGCATCATTGTGAAAGTTCGTTGCACTTACTAATAAACACCAAAACCACACTTACTCTAATCTAAACTCCTTGGAAAAGTTAACTGTGAAGAATTGTCTTTTCTTGCACGATCCGTCATTTACATTTGCTCTGTGGATCCCAGCACTTCTCACATTCGATTCGTTTCCTCGCCTCCGTGATCCACAAAGGTCTTTCCAGTCTTTAATGTGTGGTTTCGACTGCTATTTGAAGGATTCTCCCTTCACTATAAAAACCGTCAAATGGTGGCCAAGTTGATTCTCCCTAGTGTCCTGGGATAGCAGGCTAGAACGTCAGCACTTGCATTGCAGAAAGCGAATCTTTCTCCAGATATGTCCGGTACCACTTTCATAACCCCGGATGGGTGAGGGTTGGTGATGCCGAAGCCGCAACGAACCAGCACCAAGTTCGTAAAGAGCGGCATCACTACCACAGTGCTATCAATCCATGTGAACAACAGCTGCAGAATTTAACGCAATAAAATCACACATCTATTAGAGTGGATTCTTCCGACAATTTGAGAGCATAAATTCAGAGATATATTCGCGTGTAAAAAGCTTCTAAATTCCATACGGGCGTCCTAGACTCAGCATGAAAAAGGAAAGGATTCCTCTCCAAATTTAGGACACTTTTCATCTAAACGAATAAGCACGTTTCATGTCTACACCATATAATAAAACCTTCCTTTTCCATTCTTATATTGTTGCAAATCACAAAATCTGCGCCACCGACCTCTGTTACGGGTATGCAGTTCTCATTAGAGTTCGTTCGTGACTCTCCAGGGCGACAACCACATTTTGTTCCTCCGATACACACCTACGATAGATTTGAGCAGCGTAAAAAAAAAGGCTATCAATGATAAATTCGATGTAATATTTCATCAAAATCACTAAATTTCTAACATGTAGAGTATATTTTCTGCTTCTTATAAAACATAACTGCTCTTGAGGCATACGTGAGGAATTGAAAATAGGAAAAAATCACGCACTGCTAAGGAGTAATGGTGTCAATAAAAAGGACAGATGTTTTCTCAAGTTTGATACTAACGCACAATTTACAAAATTAATCGAAACATTTTTTATATCACTAGATCAAATCTTATGCGAATTCCAGCATTTGGCAGTTTGGCTCTCTTCATGGATGTTGGTCGAGTAGATTCGCCTTGTAATCTTGACATTGTGCAAGAGGTTTTAAAGGTTCTCATAACAGCCAGTCGCCGCCTTTTGAAGGGTGAAGGGAGTGAGCACTCAGGAAAGTCTAGAATCATTTTTCCGACTCCGGAATAATGGCTTGGCTAAACTGCGTGAGATCAAGCTAGGGCCTTGCGCGACAATTGGCATCACTACTAGTGCTTTACCAACGTCCAACTGAAACTTTAAAAAGATACGACTGAGCGATGAAATTGTTCAAATTTAATTACCGCAGGATGTTCATAGCATAGTGGCTGGTGTACCCTACTATACATATGGCCCTTGACCCAAACCCGCGTCCCCGCTCAAACCCACTTTCCTTCATAATTCTCAGATCGGAAGATTGGTGTCAGGATTATGCGTAGGAGTAAAAAAAAACTTTTGTAGTCCAAATAACTTCAAAAGTCACATATCCATACTTCGTTCTAGAATTTCAAAGTATTGCAGAAAGCGATCCAACCTCACGGAGATCAACTTTGCAGTGAGTGTTACCGCATGGAACCTCATTTGCCGACGGAGTCGTTCTCTCTGTTTCTTGTGGTCGATCGATCGTCAAAGCTAATTTTTCAAATATATGAAGAAAATTCGATTGAACAGTGAGAAAATGATTCTCCTCCAAACAAAATCCCAATGCCAACCTATACATACACGCCCAGTTTTGAATGGATCGGTGTTCTCATCGAAGAATCCGGCTTTACACTGGCAAACAAAGCCATCATCAGTGTCGATGCAGTCTGCATTCGGATCGCAGTCGTTCATTTCGGGATCCTCACATTCGTTATATCTAGAAAGTATTCGTTTCTAGTCAGACAAAACAAAAGAAAAACATTCACCCGACTTCACTACCACTTAATTTCTTTGGGTTTTCTGGAAATCACAGAAAAACTCTAGGATTTTCCTTGCTGATGTTCCTTTATTACATCCTTTTTTCAATACAACCAGATTCTCAAGTATAAGTAGTCAAATAAATGCCTTTATAAAAAAAACCACAACGCATAAAGAAGTGGCGACAAATAATTGTACAGTAACTTACTTGAGTAGTAAAAGGGACCGTATTTACAAATGACGAGGAATCGTACGACATCAGCATAAATCCCACTTGACTAGTAATTTGCTGGCTGAGCAAGACTTTATTACCTACGACTCTCAAAATCTATGCTAAAGCTTTCTGAAGCAGTAATCACTTGTAATAGCGACGACGTTGCTGTTAGGATGGTAGCGATTCCTGTCATGCAGTTAGTTACCCTGGCGGATGGAAACCTCGAATTCTTCCTCAGCTTAGGAGTTCCGATTGTCCATCGTAGTTCGACAAAGGAATAACTCTTAGCTACGTAAAGGTAGTAAACCAATGTGGAGTAACAGCATAGAAGGCAATTGGATAGTGGAGAATCGGTGAATATAAAAACTCCTGAGGCTGTATTGATCAATAACATCCGTTGAAGGGAGTAGCTTCCTAATACGATATTATGACACTTATTTTTATTATCCTGTTCTAAGTTTCACATTTTAGAAACGGTAGTTTACCAGACCTCCCAACGGTTTACCACCTCATCTCGGCTGGGAGGTGTTCCTGGGTGTCGGACTGCGATGTACAGAAGGTGGATTCATCCCGCTGTCAGGGTCTCCCAAGTTGACAAGGAGTCCGGCGTTTCCTTCTGGAAGCCCAGCTAAGAGCAAACCAGTATCAGGACCCGTCACGGCCCTGGTACCAAACTAGTCGCACAGTGGCAAATTTACTTCTAATGCACAACAGTGGCAACAGCCTGTGGTGATAACGACCTGGGGCAGACTTTGGCCAGCTGACCTCGGTACTCTAGAGAACCACAAGAACTAAGCCAGCAAAACTGCAAAAAATGGAAATTACTCTGGCGCCCGCAGAGTCAGTGGAGACGGGCCATCTAAGTATCTAAGAATCCAAATTTACCAGAAGCCACAATAATAAAAGATAAAGCATTCGCTACCAATGTCAGAGAGATACGTCATGTATTGGAGTTCATCAATCATCGTAGAAATAAATGAATGCATGAATACATACCTGACCTGTACAGTGACTTGTGGTGGCCTACCGATATGTGACGATTATCCAGCGTGTAGTGCACGGCATCTCTATCCACTGCACTACGCCCGTCCCAGACACCACAATAAACACAACGATTCATGAACACTTATTTTCACAACTTAGGCCAAAAAGTTATGCAGAATAAAGTGACAGTGCAGATCTCAATCAATAGTCGCTGATTTGGTACCAACCTCATAATAGAAAAGTTACATATCAACCGAGCGTACTCCACAACTCAGTATTCGAGACAAGTCTACAATTACCGCGTCAGAGTAATTATGAATGGAACATGAACTTCATGACTATTTCAATAAACATGATCAACGCCTTTAGCAGGGTAGGAAGACGAAAAAAACTGTGATACCCATAGTCTTCTTTAAACAGTGAAGTGTTCGAATATTAATACTATACAATTGCACTCTTTACTGTTGAGCTTGTTGTATCCTCCTCGCAGGGGATTTTCCAGCATGGCTATCACAAGAGCCCATGAAAATTCAAGCTCGTCCAACATTCATTGTGTCACTGAGGATAGACTATACTCAAGTAGTTGAGTGGCGAACCTACACAAACAAATCCAAAACCTTCAAAACAACGAAAAAGTACAGGAAACCTGCGAATCGCATAGCAATAAAGGCAAAATCATCTAGGTACATATAGTTTATCGCCTCACCCTTAAAAGACCGTATTCGTTCTGGGAAGAACTGCAGTGTATTGCAAGTTACACCTAAATTCCATACTTCAACACTTCCTTTCAGAAGGCCAAGAAAGCATAGCTAAATCAACGACGCCCTGGTTTGTTTTGCATATCACGAAAGTTCGCTTTTGGTGACAACATGTAAACATCTTCACGACCATACTACACTTTTGAGAAAAAATGTTTTCTCAACCATCAGAACACCAGCGAAAAGAAAACTATGCTGAGTTTTATACGAATCGTGAAGATGTACTACCTGTCTACTCGAGCATCTGCACAACAATAGCTTCCACCATATCATAAAGAAATAAGGAACTAAGTAAAAGAGAATCTTTGTTGAAACAATCTCAAAATCCCCGGTGGTCTGTCAACTTGTTCTTGATCACGTTCAAAGGCTAACGAATTCTGGTCAACTGAACTTTAATGCCTCCCAACGGTATACCTCCTAATCGTGGCTGGGAGGTGTTCCTGGGTGTCGGACTGCGATGTACAGCGGAGAATTCATCCATTGGCAGGGTCTTCCAAGCTAAGAACGAGTCTGGCGTTTCCATCAAGAAGCCTAGCCAAGAGTAAACCAACAAAACCAAGATCCACCACCGTCCTGGTATCAAAATCGCATGGTGGTAAATCTCCCTCTGATCCACAAGGGCCACAACTGCCTGTGGTGGTGAAGACCTGGGCAGGGTTTGGCCAGGACCACAATGGCTTAACTAGCAAATCTCCGAAAAATGGAGATTATGCTGTGGACCACACAATCAGTGAGGACAGGCCATTTAAGTATCAAATAAGTAACTAGGAACTTTAATGCTATGTGGTATTCTCTTCATGACAGAAACTTTAATGCTATGTGGTATTCTCTTCAGCAGATAAAAACTCACTATTGGGTGGTCTATATATAGATATACTACACCAAGGGAACAAATATTTTCTCCAATATGTCAAAAATCATTACTCGAATCACATTTAATTTTCCATAGTCCTAATCTCTTCATAAATGTTATAGAAAATATCTAAAATATGAATGCTATGCACCGGCACACTCGTCCTGGAGCATCAGGCAGCTGATCCACATACGGCTCTTGGCACTTACACTCGTATCCGTCGATGGTATCGACGCATGTGGCATGTTTGTCACAATCATTCAAGTTCTCCGCCAAGCACTCATTAATAACTGCAAACAAATTTATGCCACATGTAGAGCGTATTTGCGAAAATAGACCGTGGAAGGCAACTCACTAAACTTGCACCTCGTTCCAGGATTTTCTGGTTGCTGATCGTGATAATCTGGTTTACATCTGCAAGACATTACTTTACATTCATATCACAATGCTTCATTTCTTATTCTTCTATTCATACTTTTATATTTGAACTCAAGTATTCCAACATATTCGAACCACACCTAATTTTTTTAGCGGTCATAGGGACTATGTCTAGTTTTACACTATGCGAGCTATGAGTCGTATAAAGCTCACGCGGTCTGTGGTCATCCTTCTCTTCGTTTTTACTAACTATAAATCGGTTTTCATATGTATCTTACCCATTTTCGCTTTTTTGCATTTTGCATATCTTCTACGTGCACGATTATCTCTTGCGTGTGATGAAGAAACTCGTTCAACATCTAGCCAAAGGTGTTGATAATGACGATGTTTGGCAGTTTGTTTCGTAAATGTTCGGATATTCAGGATGGTTCCCATGATTTTTTGAATATCTATCCATTTCATAGGGTAACCATAATTTATCGCAATGAATGGGAAGACAAGAACAACCAATATTTTTTACAGGACCCTACAGCACATAATATGCGTATACCAGCACCTCTTGAACCTGACTGGTTCCCTCGCAACCACATTCTATGAAGGTCTTTGGATTTCGTGTATTGTTCACCAGTTAGTCGAGTCGTTCTTTATCTTAAGCTATTTTGACAAAAAACAAATTGAATCCAATTTTGTCATTCCTTCATCAAAAATCAAAGCAGGTAATGAAGACGCTGCGGGCAAAGGAGAATCTCTTATGACCGCCAGTGAACAGTTCGAACGACTCGACGGTGAGTACGAAGATGATGGTAGTCAAGTCAGCAAGAAAGTGTAGAAACAAGGTGTTTCGGTCATATAGACACCAAAAACTGGTACATGAGCCCCTCGTTGGCTGAGAAAAACAGGAAAGGCCTTTCCAATCAAGTCATTAACAAGAAACTAAAGAAGGAACAACTGAAGACTCAATGGAATCGCAGTGGCGTAATGCTGCTCCAGTGAAAACATAGAAGAGTATTACAGTAACAGTTCTCGATAATCGCGATTAATAGGAAGTCCGTCGAGGCTAATAGAAAGTCGATTGTGAGTATTACAGTAATAACTATAACATATGACGATATCCGTCATCCGAGCATATTAAGATTGTAAATTGTAGAAAGGTGCTTCGGAATGCGAGAAGATGAGAACTTATCCCCATATTTCAGGGAGGTTAACAAGCGACGAATACATTTTTGCTTGGTTTGGTTATAAACGGTTATCCATTCAATTATTCACTCTGTTCATAGTGAGATATTCGCAAAATTCAGGACCGAAGATGTATGCGGTGGGGAACGAACGCGCTATTACCCTTTAGGGAGGCTATCGCGTTCACCACAACACCATGCGGGTCCTTCGCTTCGCCTGTCTCTCAGCTAGTTCTGCCGATCACTGCCATCAGCAATCACCCGTGTTTGAAGAACGCAAGGAGGATCTATTGTGAAATTGAATAAAATCGCAATGATGAGCTTAAGGTCCAAGTGCACTTGAATTCTTTTAAAATTATTAGTGTTTCTGCGTTCTCGAGTAGCCAAACTCTTGAAAATACTAAAGTATCGAAGAAATGGAATAAAGACTTTGCGCTGCAACACATTAAGTATAAATATGTCAAAATGTTTCGAAACCGACTTTCCTTGAACCTCGGTATCCCTAATCAATATGTATTCTTCCTTTGATGAGCTTACACGAGGTTGATAATGATATTTATTTTCGGCTAACGTTTCGACGTCTTCGTCTTCCTCAGAGCCGATGATCCGAGTCGATGGTCCATGTTTGTTGTTCGTCTCGACGTTGCAGCTACGCCTTCGTGTCGAGTTAGGTTTTCCTCAGTGAGCCATTTTCTCGAATGAGGCATCCTCACTCAGTGATGCCCTTTTATACACGATGCTGATGGTGGATATAATGATAATGTCCGGTGGTAACAACTTGTATTTCTTCCGGACATACATCATCGGCTCTGAGGAAGACGAAGACGTCGAAACGTTAGCCGAAAATAAATAAATATCATTATCAACCTCGTGTAAGCTCATCAAAGAAAGAATACATATGTCAAAATGCTCGATTCAGCCTCTATTCGAAGTATGCCAATAACAGCCACAAAGATGCTGAAATATGAGCAAAGCTTGAAACCCCGGGTGAGCTTCGAACCCACAATTTGCCTTTTCTGGGGGCTCACGTGCTATCTACCACATCAACTGAGATTACGGCCCTTGGGTTCAAAGCCCATTTGTACTCCCCAGATCACTCTCGTTGACGGGTGACTGCTGGTAGCACACCGATAGAGTAAAAACATGGCATCAGAAGAATGCAAAGCAAGAGTGCGGTGGACAACACGTCAGCTCCCGGAAAGGGTAATCAAGTGTTCGAAGCTAACCTGGGGTTACGAGTTTTGCTTATGTCTAAGCATGACTATATTTGTATTTCACGTAATACCTTAACGCAAAAAATATACTGTAAGTTACGTTAGTCACAAGTGCAAAACGATTAAATTGTGACCCATTCGGATTATGAAGAAGAAGTTCACCTAAGGACACGTAAATTGTGGAAATTACAAATAGCAAAATATTTCTTGAACACAACGCTCACGATAACAGTGGAAGGGTACGAAAAAGTGTGGAACGACAGGCTGTGTAGAAAGGAAAAGTCGAACTTTCGAATGTTTTGCCGTAATTTTAACTTATTATTTACTGCCTATGGACGCGTGTAAGCAGTGGTTGGAGAGCGCCACTGCGACACACGTGGAATCGATCCCACGCCCATGGCCCACCAAACCTTTCATCTTTCCGAGGCCGGCAAATTGGTAACGCATTTGTCTGGGATCACCTAATTCCCTCCAATTCACGCCAAGAGCTTTAGAGCTTTTTTATTTACTGCCTACTCTTTTTAATGGCAGTGTATGTTGCGAAACATAACTTGATGAGATATTTGCAAAACTTGAGACCGAAGGTGTATACGGTGGGGAACGAACGAGCTATTACACTTCCCGGGGACTAACGCGTTCACCACTACACTATGCGAGTCATCTAGTTCTAACGATCAGTGCCATACATACAGGCTTCCGCAAATTGTAGGAGTTATCAAATAATTTTTCCCATATTACGTAGAGAACAACACATTGGTAAGTTCGTGAAAGAACATAAAAATTATAGTGAAGAAAAAAGAGCCATGGAGAAATTGGGTCATACGACTCAAACTGTCCGTTGTGTCTAGTAACCCGATGTACGAATCATATATGATACACAAATTGTCAATGTGTTAACAGTTTGTTTAGTTCTGTAGAGTCACAACTTTGAACGATATGGAAGTTAAAAAATGTGCAGGTAAAAAATGATAAAAAATGATTGAATCTTAATTACGGTAATAATCTGCCTTCTAAGAGACAAATGAAAAAAATCGATGGCACGAACTAATGATTCAATCAAAAGGTCGAAATCAAATGAGAAACCCAAATTGACAACGATTCATCAACAGCGAAACTTACATGCATTCATATCCTTCTTCTTTGTCGATACAATCGGCAAAACGCGAGCAATTGTTCAGATGAGGCATAAGGCATTCGTTAACCAGCTGAGTACAAGAGGTATATACAAAAAGGTTTCTCCTATGAAATTTGAATCAAGATAAAAGCCAAATAAGTCTCACCCCGAAACAACTACGACCCGGTTTGGATGGATCCTTCGAGATGTCACGACTTCCGACCGGACACTGGCATTCGTACGAATCAGCGGTGTCACGACACGTTGCAGCTGGATCACAGTCGTTCAACGACGGATCCAAGCACTCGTTTACCAGTTCACGACATTCGCGACCTACAATCTCGACTTTTTGTAGCATAAGATTTCTTTTCACTGAACACTGTATCTGGAATGGTTCGGCTTCATCTTAACTAGAAATGTCAGATTGCAGTTTTGCAATGGATTCCCTGCAGCGGACGCGTGTGTGTACTGGTCAGAGGCGCTCTGTAATACACATGGGATCGATCTCCGCGCTCCAGACTCATCAAGCTTTCCATCCCCCGGAGTCGGCAAATTGGTACCAGACTCGTCTAGGAGGATAGCAACATTGGCTCGATACATGGGCAGACCACGGTAAGTCATTGTAAAGCCTAGATATGCATTCAATCACCTCTAACCATGCCAAATGAAGTTGAATGTATGGCGAACCCCTCAAGGATTGAAGAGCCTCATTCTTTTTCTAATTATTCGTAGCAGTGGGCGGTTCATAGTCAGTCTTAATGGTGAAGGTGCCATCGAGGACAGTTTTTACTTCTTTAATTTGGTGACATTTTATCCACTTTATTTAGACTTGAATTCGTTACTAATCAATCAACCAAATGAACACAACGGAGTTCGAACCTGAGACTGTAGTCTTGGTAATGGGTCGTTTTAGTAACTAGGAATATACCCAATAAAAGTAATTTCAACAAGCAGAAAATAACTTCCACTCACCCGAAGAAATCTTTTACGTCAACACCAATGTATAGTAAGCGCTTAGTTTTCACTTTATTCTTAGGTTAAACGAAAAGTTTGTTATTTAAAGAAATCCCGTACAGAAACACCACACGCAGAAAAGAAACACACAGAAACACCGTACAGAAAAGCGTCATCATTTTCAAAAAAAAGTTTTCATTTGTGTTGCCTTCCCACATATTCCTAATACTAGAAAAAAAACAGTTACTCAATGTATAATTAATGGATCCTTCCAACGGTTTACTGCCTCATCGTGGCTGGGAGGTGTTGCTGGGTGTCGGACTGCGATGTACAGCGGGGGGATCCGTCCTCGGCAGGGTCTCCTAAGCTGAGAAGAAGTCTGGCGTTTCCACCAGGAAGCCTAGCCAAGAGTAAACCAATACCAGGATCCACCACTGCCTTGGTATCAAAGTCGCATGACGGCAAATCTTCCTCTGATCCACAAGGACTGCAGCTGCTCGTTGTGGTGATGACCTGGGGCAGACTTTGGCCGGGCTGACCTCAGGATTCCAGGAAACCACAGTGGCTTAACCAGCAAATTTCCGAAAAGTGGTGATTATGCTGGGGCCTGCACAACCTGTGAAGACGGGCCGTTCAAGTGTCAAGTGTCATAATCAATGGATGGGCAAATTAACAGATTAGTGGAAACGGTTGCCTGAAGCGAATTCTATTTAATCTGCATTCTATTTGCTAGCGTCGAAGGGAACATTAGCATTTGCCATTAGAACAAAAAATGTGTTCTTCAATTCATAGTCAATCGATGAGCAACTCAGTAGATCAACAGAAAAGCTTGATCGAGGCGAACCTGGATTCTGTTTATTAACGTCGACGTATCCATCGCGACATTTACAGGTGTACTTCTCGGGGCCGTCCACTTCCTCACATAGAGCTGCCGCATGGCAATTGTGCTTCCAATCGTCGACACACACTCGTTCCAAACATTTGCGCCCTAAAAAGGAAACCTTTATTAACAGGTTTCTGTACAAAGCGAACTTATGCTATTCTACAACTTAACACAAAGTTCTACTCGGCACTTCCCAGTTTCTTCACTGATATTACATAAAAATATTATGGAAGTGGTTCTGTCACTCCTACCAATTTATCTCCAATCAGTAACTACAACGGTATTTTTCCATAGATTTCCAAGTAGCTTTATGATGATCGAATGAACCAGAGATAAAAAGCTTAGGTAACTAGACTTATTGATTTTTGAGGGATTCCAATCAATATTTCGGATCCATATGTATCAGTTCTTACCGTTGGTTTCAAAAATCACATCGAAAATTTTAAAAACGCCAAAGTTAGGGTAAAACATGTTGAAATTCAATCAAAATTCCAAAATCCTATCGAAATCCATCGAGTAGCTGGTCGAAGAATATAACCTAACCCCACTACAACCACATCTGAAAATTGTGTCTGTTCCCGCAGAAGTCAGCTTTCGCAGGTGTAGTTATTGATGCTTTTCCTTTAGCTCTAGGGTCTAGGGTCTACTTGGGGTCTAGCACAGTTAGAAAAGCGGAATTCAACACAGAAAAAAACCAAATTCAAAAATTTTAACCAAAACTTGGGTCAGTCGGCACATATTGAATACTAGTTCCAAACTGACCCGTTCGATGCGGCAGCGGGCTGCGATCCAGGTAGCCAGCTCTGCAGACGCACTCGTAGTCGTTCGTCCCACGTTCGATGCATTGCGCATTAACATCGCAGTCATGGCGCCCTGAGTCGCAGATTTGGTTCTCTGGAAAATGAGTGGTGTTCAGCGTCTTATTATTCAATGAATGTCACAAAGAAGAGGCAAAATCCATGAAATCAGGCACTAGGTACCACATGTGGAAGCACAGCAAAATTTGATGCACATCTTTCGTATGAGTCTAGATAACCATAATAAAAATATTATTATTCGTATTTTTGTTGAGCAAACGCGAGGTGTTATTATTCTTTTTTCACGATTAAGCTGACGTTTCGGCGGATTTTGCCTTCCTCAGAGCCGCTTCCTATGAGGTTTCCACTAAGTATGTCACGTAGAGACCAACCGCACAGAAATCACGTGGAAGTATAATGTAGTATAATGTATATAGTATTATTATTCGGCTCGTGTAGAGCAGTGGTTCAAGGTACACTGTGATGCACGTGGTTGGTGATTGGAAGAAAACGAATGAAAGATGTATAAGATGAAAGCATCTACGAAATACCTGATGTGGGCTCGTGAAAAATACTTTCGGGACCACTACATTTCCATCATTACCAAGAATTTTGGTTTATTTTTCATCTCTGCAATGTCTTCATAATATTTTCATCGTCAAGTGTTAGAAAGCAGGTTACCTTCTAGAAATACATCAGGTGGTTACTGTGGTCTTACCAGGTGTTCTTGATGAGTTGATATAAGGTTTTCAAGACGTTCCGGTCTTTCATTGATTTAAGCCCCAACAGCTTAGCCTTTTCCAAAGCCACTTTAGTAATTACTTTCTTACCAAGTAAGAGTACCTGCATGAGACGTTAATAAATCACAGAAAATAATCAAATCTTAAACAAATCACATTTAAAAAGCTACCTAAACCCTAAACACTAATGTGCAGCATTCAACTGATGATTTACTTCGGACGAATACCACTGGTATTTAAAAGACTTTCATGATATTCATGAATTTTTAAAAACACTTCTATGAAGTTTCTTCAGCTGACACACAGGCGATTGAATCCACTTTCTTTTACACTTTCTTCTTATTACCATCTGAGCTTTAGCTATACTTAAGGTGTGAACCTTATTTTCATTTTCTCTCATACACTCCTTCCTACTCAGGGTAAACCCTTTTTCAACTCAGTGCATTATGGGTGACACCTTCTTCAATTTTAAACCAATTGAATCACAAACCTATTTGTCATGTTAGCAAAATTCCCGCACCAGGTCCTACTTTCCTTTAGCTAGTTTCTACTGAATTGTGCAAATCCTCAATATTAAGGTAAATCTTTTCACCATTACTATACTATCGTGAAAGGATAAACCCCTTGAATTTAATGACAACTGTTTAATGCATTACGGTTTCTAGGTCTGTCACTTCCAACAGTTTGGACAAGTCCACCCAGTGATAACGGAACCGCAGCAGTTGTCACTCGGAAATGAATATAATGGAGGTTTCCAGTTTTTCATCGACTAACTGATGTACAAACACTGAAATTTAGCGAAACGAAGGAAGTAGAACCTCTGAGAGAATTTGGCATGAGCATTTTATGTTATTTCAGGACGCAAACGAGTTAATAGCAAACGGAAACACTCTCACTTTTACGACAGTCCCGACCAGGATTTCTTAACTCGTCGTGATCCACATAGCCTTCTTTGCACTGACACTTGTACGCATCTCTGGTATCTGAAATTTAGTTATTATTCGTGCACTTTTATTCGCTGAATGAATCAGTTCATATTATGAAACGACATCAAAGGTGAAACCCTCGAAGAAGAAACGTTCACACTTTCCATGAAATCGAGAAAAATGCTGATAACTAGGTTCTTATGAAGGTTAGTTTCAAGTGATAGGTTAGGTGAGAATCCTCATTGTACCTTATCAGTCAAACATTTCCGGACGGAAGACCCACTAAGATTCACGGAAGAAAACCGTTTATTAATCGAAGTTCAGAAAAGCAAAGACTTTTAATGTAACAAAAAGCAAGAAACATGGCTATTGATTTCTGCGAAAACAATTTTTGCCCATCCGCGAACCGATCGAACTCTAAGACAGAACCAAGGAAAAAAACCCTTTCAATATCAATTTTTTGGGACAGTCGAATTCTTCCCATTTGAAACCTATCACCTTCATTAAAGCGCAACGCGCAACTGAAGTAACCCCATTTTTACCAACAAGAAAAGCTTAAATCGTACTCTCTAGCCCCTCACCTGTACAGATGGCGTGTTCGTGACAAGTGTTACTGGTTTTCGAGGCGCATTCGTCTACGAGAGCGCGGCATTCTAAACCGGAGAAAACTTGCATATTCGGGGAAACGTCCACGTAACCCTCCTTGCACCTGAATTAACGACTTTTTTCTTCAAAAGTCACACGGTAGGTGCTAATCCATTGTTGTACTGAGACAGATTACTTTCACTGTTTTAGAAACAAAAGAAAAAAAAAATGCAAACAAGAGATGATACTGATCCTAAAAAAATGCAATACTTAAATGTAAGTTATTAAAATTCCCAAGTCTAAGCCTAAGCCTAAGCCTCGCGGACGAGATACGGTGACGTTAATCGTGCAATTTGATCTACGCTTAGAAAAAATAATCATTTAATTGGAAAAAGAATAGGAATTGAAGGGGTGGTTTAGAGGACTCCTCAATGTAAAATGTCCTACCGACATATGAATCCATCGGCGAGATCAATGCACTCGGCGTTCACTGAGCAGTTATGGCGGTTCTCCTGGCATTCGTTGTGAACTGAAATTTGAGTTCTGAGAATTGCAGAACCGTCAAAACCCTTCAAAAACTACACCGAATCCTTGGTTCTTAAACTAGTTAGAGAATGCAAAACATCAAAATACTTAGTGCTCTAAGGTAATCACTTACGGGTAGTTCATTCAGGACATGCTTAATAGACGATCCTCAGCACCCTTTAAATATCCATTTTTTTAGGCTTAAGTTGATTCACGGCAGCATATTAGGCCGAATAGAATTAAAGACAGTGATATCGCGTAGAAAATTTGTTTACAAATGTGACATATGACATTCCCTAGTTGAACAACGCACAGAAGAACTGTTGCAATACTGATCTAAAAGCGATTCTTCAATCTCTTCCACCTCTGTAAATGTGCGAATGACCACATCAGGAAAGAAAGTGGTTTTAAATTTTTAGCTGAAAACCTAGCTAGGAGTACTACACCTACTCCTTGTAGAACCCTGCGAACTATCCACAACTGGTTCCTTATCAAAAATTGCAAAAGTAAGGGTTTCCATGCTAAATATGTGATGTTAGTGAAGTTCCTTGAGAGATCTTCGCCCACCGATTCCTACTGTGCGTGGTCAGGACGAAAGGAAACTGTGCTAGTGTCTATTTAAGCTACTCGCCGATTTACGATACCAGTGATACCGGATAGATACGACTATATACACGGGCCAGTTAGATCCTCAAACCACATTAAACCGTTCCGATCATAAAGAAATAACCTCGAAGTGACAGCAGACTCACATTGTGTGCAAACTCTTCCAGGTTTTGTTGTTTGGTCCGGCGATTTGTCGAGATATCCGCTAATGCACGTGCAGATAAACGATTCGTCCGTGTCCGTGCATCTGGCGTTTACATCGCAATCGTGCGTGCCAGCCGAGCATTCATCGATCACTAAACTAGTACTAGTAACTGTAAGTAAATTTCAAGACATTGGTGAGAGAAGTAGAAAACGACTTACGACAAATATCGGTGACTGGATGCCTTTTATAGAAGCGACTTGTGTCACACTGACAGGTGTATTCTCCACTGAAATACATAGAATGAATCTAGACAAAGTGGATTCCGAAAAGGTAAATCGGCAAGGTTCTGGATGATTTGAAGTAGCCACAATGAAACGAGTGTTTAACAGAGTTTTAAATTTCGTGAAAAACAACTAATGCAACACTTCATAGTTACAGTAACCCTGCCTAACTAAATACAAAACCTTATGGTATAAAGTGAAGGTCGTTAACCTAGACTAAATAACTAGTTAACCAAAGGTTTGTCTTTTTCTCTCCAGTAGAACTTAACAAAAAATAGAGACAACTCCAACAATAAAACTTCATAACTCGAAAGACCGACTTTCTATAAACTTCGGCATGGATAGTTGATATATTTATTTATGTGATCTTATAAACTGATCTTCTTAAGCTGACGCGAGGTTGGTACAGATCTTCGTTGTCGTTGTCGTTGTTTTTGATGTTATTGATCGATGGCTGACGTTTCGGCGACTTCCCCTTCCTCAGAGCCTGGACGTACTTTATGTTAGAACACTTTTTATTATTCGGTGGAAAAGAAGGTTAAAGTATTAATGAAGATCAAACTTTCAAATAGACGCCATATTGAACAGAAAGGCCACTCACCTGTTACGTGGGGGACTGGCCCACACGTAGTTCACGCGAGCAAGACACGCCCAGGGGTCAAAATATCATTTTGAATTAGGGCGCCAGGTCACGCGTGATAATGAGGCATTCGTCCTTCCGGTTCATCTTTGGATTTTTGAAATTTATCCAAAACGCCTCAAGAGTTTTGCGCGTTGATGTTTTCGATTCCTGCGCTAGGATCCGCACATTCACTTCAAAATCATCGCCGTTGTGCTTTTGTGTCCTATGCGTACCTAGAGGGTTGTTTAAACGGATTTTAGCTTTCCCGTCTAGATGTTCTTTTATGCGGACACAAAGTGGTCTACCCGTTTCCCCAATTTATTCCTCGCTGCATGTGTGACATGAGATCAAGTATATTACACCTAAACTCATGCAATCCCCGTCTCTCCCGTTAGGACAGATCATACAGTTTTCTGAGCTGCACAAACGATCATAGAGACGGTTTCGAACTAACTGGCGGCGTAGGGTGTTGGGTGGGATGTCAGCAATCGTTACATAATTTTCAAGACCACTTTTTCTAAAGCACTTTTTAATGGCGTGACTTACTTCATTTGATATGAAGGGCAGCTTAAAGAGGATCCTACTTTCGTCTGAAATATTATTTTGGGAAACTACCCAACGTTTTCCGCTAACCCGAGTGGCTTCTACTTCGTAGCCATTGGAAATGACAATTTTTCGTGCCAGGCTTCGCGATTCTCGGTAGTTCAGTTCCAGTCCTCCAGTTCTCTAGGACCAGTTCTCGGTAGGTTTTCCTCGTGTAAATTTTATATACTCTGACTGTCGGTTTAATAATTCAAAGCACTCATCCATCTGTTCTTGTGTAGAACAGACGATGAAGCAGTCGTTTATGTATCGACAGTAGAGTAAGGGTCGGTGATCGAGAACTGGAGCTTCCACCTTAGACATGAAAGCGATGGCAAGGCTTGGTGCTAAACGCTGCCCCATCGCCCACCCTCTAATTTGTGCAAAATATTTTCCAGACCGCCTGAAGATTGAACAACTAAGACACTGTATACAACCGCCTATACAACTGATGATAGGTCTAACTTTATATAATGATGGGTTCGTTGACGTAATATCATTAGTTGAAGTAAGCTTATGTGTTTTAATAAGCAAGTGAAGGACAGGGCAAATCGGGTGGTCGTTCTTGAGTCGAAAAATAACTGAAGGCTCTAAACCCGCGGCCTTTGTCGTGCTGACCCATTCTTGATTCAATTTTCGGTATTGATTTCTGTATTCCTTTTCAGAGGATGTTCGATAGAGAGAAACATCACTGAGGTGCCACTCGGGTTAGAGGAAAACATTGCGTAGTTTCCCAAAATAATATTTCAGACGAAAGTAGGATCCCCTTTAAGCTGCCCTTCATATCAAATGAAGTAAGTCACGCCATTAAAAAGTGCATAAGAAAAAGTGGTCCTGAAAATTATGTAACGATTGTTGACATCCCACCCAATACCCTACGCCGCCAGTTAGTTCGAAACCGTCTGATCGTTTGTGCAGCTCAGAAAACTGTATGATCTGTCCTAACGGGAGAGACGGGGATTGCATGAGTTCAGGTATAATATACTTGTTCTCACGCAATGCATGCGGCGAGGAATATATTGGGGAAACGGGTAGACCACTTTGTGCCCGCATAAAAGAACATCTAGACGGAAAGGCTAAAATCCGTCTAAACACCCCTCTAGGTACGCATAGGGCACAAAAGCACAACGGCGACGATTTTGAAGTGAATGTGCGGATCCTAGCGCAGGAATCGAAAAGATCATCGCGCAAAACTCTTGAGGCGTTTTGGATAAATTTCAAAAATCCAAAGATGAACCGGAAGGACGAATGCCTCACTATCACGCGTGACCTGGCGCCCTATTTCAAAATGATATTTTGACCCCTGGGCGTGTCTTGCTCGCGTGAACTACGTGTGGGCCAGTCCCGCACGTAACATCACGGTGAGTGGCCTTTCTGTTCAATATGGCGTCTATTTGAAAGTTTGATCTTCATTAATACTTTAACCTTCTTTTCCACCGAATAATAAAAAGTATTCTAACATAAAGTACGTCCAGGCTCTGAGGAAGGCGAAGTCGCCGAAACGTCAGCCATCGATCAATAACATCAAAAACAACGACAACGACAACGAAGATCTGTACCAACCTCGCGTCAGCTTAAGAAGATCAGTTTATAAGATCACAAAAATAAATAAAACTTAAACAAAATATCATCCACAACTTCCTTTAGGCAGGCTTCGAGACAAGTTTTAATATTTCAATACATACTGGAAAGGCTTCAAAATTTCAGGCATATCTCCAGAAATTCCATAACGGAGTAATAGAATTTTACTTTTGCGCGAACGTCCAAACAGGTTCTAAACAAGAAATACTGCTAGAACTAAAGTGAGTGAATTTCTAGAAAATTACTTAGCGTTGCGAAGACATTTCTCCTTCTTCCTGGCATCACATGAACCGACAATGGACGGATCACATGTACCCGGTGCTTGACAATTGTCCGATTTCGGATTCCGAACATATCCAGCACTAAAAAGTCGTTTCTAGAAGGAACTGGTAGTGTTAGATAGTATACATTAAAAATAAAAAGGTTAAAGCTCTCAGCATTGATCAATCTCTGAGGAATGTGCCATGCATTCGACTCCACTAAGCATCCTTTACAATGACTCGCGGTGGCCTAATGTATTGAACCAGTGCTGCTGTCTTCTTAGAGAAGTCTAGTAGCAATTTGCCAACCCTGGAGAGATGGAAGGCTTGGTGAGCCTACAGCGACGGTATCGATACCATGTGTATTGCATGGCGCCTCCAACCACTGCGCTACATGCTACATGCGCTACATAGTATGCATAGTTAGTAATAATTGCAGTAATCATAGTTAATTCCAAGGATAATAAACAGGAACAGCGCATTAACGTTATAAAAATATATAAAAATTCACTGCAACCATGTCAATTATGAGCTAACAGCATGAAGAACATTTTATTCCCCATCTCTTGAATCGAATTCGACAAAAAACCTTCACATTTCTGATAACAGACCTGCACTGGCAGACAAACTGTCCTCCGGGACCTTTCACACATTTCGCATTCGGTCCACAACTGTTGCCTCGTAACACGTTGCATTCGTCTCTGGATTCGAACACAGGAGGAGTACCAATCCCTGAAGAATCACTCGTATATGGGAAAACTGCCGGCGAGAACTCTTTTTGTCGACATTTGAAAAAGCGATAGAGCCACGAGGTTATTATACGCGCAATAGAAACAAAACTAGTCACAGGCATTGCACCACGTAAACAGGATTGCAAAAGCTTTAACCATCAAAGAAAAGAGTAGAAAAGCTCAGTTGCAAACCTTTTGACTAGTACTTAAATCATTATTCATAGAATGGAAGAAAACAGCATGATATGAAATAGATTTCATTGCATGGAGATTTCTCGGATGTCAGCAGTGCAACAAGCGACTGCAGATGCGTAGATCGCTTTCTAATTCCTTATCCTTATATACACAACCAATACCGGAAACCGCCACCGCCCTGGTATCAAAGTCGCATGTTAGCAAATATCCCTCTGATCCACAAGCGCTGCGACTGCCCGTGGTGGTGAAGACCTGAGGCAGACTTTGGTTAGGCTGACCTCGGGATTCCAAGGAGCCACAATGGCTTAACCAGCGGACCTCCGATAGATGGTGATTATGCTGGGGCCCGCACAACTATTGAAGACGGGCCGTTCAAGTGTCAAGTGTCAAGTATATACACATACTGCGGTCGATTACGGATCCACGCTATCTGAGAGTACGGGGCAAATTATCCATGACGATAGGTAGTACCTACAATAATGCACCGTTGCCGCTGTGGGGTAGGACTCACATCATCAAAGAAAGAATACATACTCACATCAGTGTTCAAATGGGATGCGCAGTACACCTTCTTCCTTGCTAATAGGGATATCAACTGAACAACGACCCCCAGTACTCTATCCTGAAGTCCGATTAGGTAAATCAACACCAGTAATCAATGCCGTTCTGGAGGGAACATGGCCTCCTATCTCTTATCTACTACCCATTTAAGAAGCATTTTGACTTCAAAGAGGTGACCACCGTTCACAAAATTTTCACAGAAGATTCAGGAACAACTGAGGAATTATTCCAGCTGTGCAGAAGTTTCAACACCAGATCATTAATTTCTACGAAGTTATAATCACAATCTTAACTCTTTTATTTACTGCCTTTTTCTTCTTAATGGCAAGGTTTGTTGCGAAATATAACTCGTATGATATGCTGAGATATTTGCAAAACTCCGGACCACAGGTGTATGCAATGGAGAACGTTCTCCATTGCATACACCTGTGGTCCGGAGTTTTGCAAATATCTCAGCATTTCATACGAGTTATATCTACGAAGTTATTTCATTGACGTAAAAGAACGGTCCTTCGACACAGCAACAACGCCCTTCAGAATCTCTGTGGGGCTTCAGGCGGTCACGTTCCCGAGTAGCACTAGAAGTTAGGGTGAAAATTAATGAGCGGTAACTACAACTACCTCTACGTTAGTAACAACGTATCGTTTACTCTCAACAATATAATCTCTTGCGATCATTCTGCTTAAGATAAAGGAATGTAATAAAAAAAACCCACTAAAACAAATAGAGAGTAAAAAATGGTAAACCACTGACTGCAAATGCCCGTGTGAACATCGCGCCATCCGAGATCTTCTGGACAAGAGCAACGCCAGTTTCCAAATGGCGTTTTCTCACAGATTTCTGGATCTGGACACGATGTGGCGATTTCCGGATTGCATACATCGCCGCCACACACCTATAAAGTATGACGTGAAGACTGTTCATCAGAAAAGTGAATGCAGAAGTCAACTCAGTTCAGCCAGTTAACTCGTTATTAAAATATAGTAACCGTATAAATACAGTAATAGGCAAGTTGCCAAACTTTAGTGATTGGATGCTGGTCGAATCCTTTTGGACAACTACAACCATAGCGACCATTCTTAAGCATGCAGACTTGGTTTAGCGCCCGATCACAGCCAGCATGTGAAGTGGGATCGCATGGTCCTAAATGAGAAAAGAAACACTGCTTTAAAAACAACTAATTACTATAACAGAGTTCTGGTCGTATTTATATACGTTCAGAGTTGATATTTAGAAAGAAAACTCTATAGAGCAGATTACAACATGAGTTCTGTGAAATAGTGTAGAACGACTTTTAAGAAAACTCTGTGTTTTCAAAATATATAAATTTGCTGGTGATACCCCCCGGTTAACACTAAAATAGTATTTGCTACCTTTGCCGTTCCTTTTTAAAGCCGCGAATATCAGAAAATTCATAGTGATCAGTACAGTCAAAAGTATAACGCCGACCTAGACTGCCACTTTTCGCCGTTTATTCTACAATAAAAGGACAAAGCTCTCGGCAATGATCAATCTCTGAGGGATGTGCCGTTGATTCGACTCCACTAAGCATCGTTGGAAGTGACTGAATGCATATCTGGTCTTTACAATAACTCGCGGTGGCCTAATGTATCGAGCCCGTGCTGCTGTCCTTTTAGAGAAGTCTGGTAGCAATTTGCCAACTCCGGAAAGATGGAAGGTTTGGTGAGCCTTCGGCGCCGGGAACGATTCCATATGTATTGCAGGGCGCCTCCGACCACTACAGTACACGTGCATTTTATTCTAGCAGCACTAATGTTAATGTACGATTTCGGAATTCTTCACAACTATGTCATTTGCTTTACTCAATTCCTTGTAAATTGGTGATCTTAGAAGCATTGCTGAGGCAGGCGGATGGTCGTTGCATTAAAACCATCGTGAATGCATTGAGTTGGAGAATGTGGTCTTCCCAGAATCATATTTGTGGGCTAATCCGATTAGTTTTATTTAGTTTTCTTTCGATTATAACCCACTAATACTCTGTTTGCTACTATAACCTATCGAATAAGATCTTTGTCAACTCACCTTCAGAAGGGTGTTTGGGACCCTCAGTTTCAGGGCAGGTGACTCGTTGGATCGCACTTCGAAGACGTGTGTTCAAGTCTTCAAACGCATTCACGTGGAATGTTCGGTCCTTTGAGCCAGTAATCTCAAACGCGTGTGTTTATGTATTCTTCGTTTATTTACTGAATTGAAAGGAAAATCCCAGAGACAGGATTCTCTCGACAACAAGAAAATACCTAGGAAAACTAGAAATATAACAGATATGTGGAAAATGTGTTGGTGTCCACACTATCGCTCAGGTATTAACGTTAGTTACTAATTTTCGGCTACGTTTAGCTGCATTTTAGATTATCTATGGCTTTTTTTGGTGAACTTCGTGAACATTGTTGGTATAAATTTTACTCATACAAAGCGTTCAAAACGATCAGTAAAAAAATTCATCTGCTTCATTTCTTGTTAGTAATCGTAGCCGAAAAATAAAATATCTATAGGTGGTGGGCGTTATAAAGATCAACATATTTATCCGTATCTTGTATTGTATCAAATTTTTGGATTCCCGTTTATAAAAATAGGCTAAATATGTAACCTAAAAACTACGACGATGGCTACGGATAGGCATTCCATGAAGGATCAACTCACCTCCTCTAGTTCCGTCTGCAGAACATGGTTTGTGACTCCGACAGCAAACAGCTGGACATTTCGTCTCCGTGCGTTCTCCGCGGCCATCGTCACACCGTCCTAAATTTTCTTAGTTAACACCATGTCTACAAATCTGACTTTACATGATAGAATTCTGCCTTGGAAGCGCTGTTTGACAATCTTCCAACATGCCAGTTACGACGGCAAAGATATTCTGAATGTGAACATTGTGATTTTGGTTACAACCTGAGTTTAACTGGGTTCAATTCCGATTTGTACTCCCCAGATCATTTTCGTTGACGAGTGATTGCTGATGGCACCGTTAAAGTAAAAAAAAAAGAAGCTGGCTCAGAAAAAGGGAAATCAAGGCCTTTAGTGGTCTACTCGGTAAGATGAAAACCTCCGGAAGGGGTAATCGGGGTTTGAAACTGGGCTGAGGTGCAATTTTGCAAACATCTCAGCACCACAGTGGTTGTATTTCAACATTATACCGTGCATTGAAGCCAAAAATTACGAGCAGTAAATGAAAACTTAAATGCGATTAATTTTAATGAGATTCCGCTATTCAAACATTCATAAAGGATGTGTTGGTTTAATGTTGTGCACCTGCACTTACTTCACAAACTCTATGCCTATCTTCCACTATCTCCGTCACCCATTCCTTAACTTTTTGCAGAACCAACCTGACTTCTGCCATCAGTGATAACGATGCCGACTCTAGCGACTCGATCTGATAATGGTCGCGCTCCGCGTCTCTCGCTAAACGCTTCGTTTACCACATGCTCGATAGCCGCTCCCGTTCGGGTTAGACCGGTCAGATAGCTGTCAATGGGTAGGTTTTACTAATTCAAAGTGAGTGAATGAATACCAAACACTACGAGGTTATTAAGCATTTGCATTTTTGAAGCCTACCAGTACTAATCTTCACCCAGACAGCCGTTGCTAACAGAAAGTCATTGTTGTGGAAAACATTGGTGGACCTCACGTCAATAAGTAGAGTATATCAAAAGTGAACAAGCGAATAGGAAAAGTGCAGCCGATAGAGCTGTGAAAGTTTCGGTGGCAAATCCTATTAGAAACAATATTTTTTCTGTTCAAACTGATGTAATTCGCCTAGTGAAAAAATTCGACCGTAGTGTTGTAAATAATCAAACATTAATTGATATGCTCTAATAACATGGTTTAATTACCAAAGTTTGAGATTTTGGCTTTAATGTCTCCATTGGAAGTCACGAAAAAGCGGCTCTGAAGAAGACGATACAGCCAAAACGTCAACTAGTGTTCTATTGTATTGTGTTTTTCTATGGAAGTAAATGTACGCTGTTTAAAAACCTCGCGATTGCTGAACAAGAAAACGACACATTCATATTCCAATGCCGAGGTTAATAGAAAGTCGATCCTGGGAACTATTACATGAGATGCTGCTTATTATAAAAATCAGAAACGACAATGTCTCATGTGACTCATGACATGAAAGAAGGGAAGTTTTCATGAAGGAGGTTCCAGAAACTTTATAAGTAGCATGTGGCATTCTATCTGCTTCATTGGAGTTATTGCAACCCTTAAATCAAAACACGAACTACTCACTCGATCTTCTTAATCGCGTCCTGCACTGAACGTCGGTCACAGTAGTCGTCGAGCTCGAACTCATGCCTAGTATATAAAGATTTATAGTGGTAATCACTATAGTTTCGTATGATTTCTCACCCAGCCTACAGTTCCAGATTTACTTTCGTGCAGTTCTCTTGAATAGTTGTAGAGAGTACTAACTAACGCTCTCACCTAATTTGATCAGAATACTGGACCACTGAGACGCGAGTTTTGTCTGGGGCAATATCAAAGAGTTCGGAGAACTCCGTTAGGAATCGCAACACCTGAAAAAAAATTCGGAAAATGATTCGGCGCTTCATGAACCTAATGCAGTGCTTAACACAATCCCTTGAATTTACAGATATTAATGGGTTGTGCTGATTATTGTGAGAATACATAGCTCGTCTCTATATGACTAGTAGGAAACTAAGCTTCTTCATAACCTGAGAGGTGAGTGGCCCCAGGGGCTAGTTGTATGCCTCTGCCACGATGGATTGGCTTATACCTTTGCTATACAAGTAGCCATATGCAAATACACTTGCATGGGGATGTTTGCGTGCAGAAAACTTGATCCTGCATATCGCTTTGTCCGAAAGCTTGCATTACATTAAATGGGAATACATAGAAGATTGGTTCTTAACCACCGTTTTCAATAAATAAGCACCAGATACGGCCAGGACGTACAACGAGCCAACTATAGGCATTCTACTCTCAAGGAATGGAAATAAAAAACGTGAAGCTCTCCTATGCTCCGAGTGAACGGATCCCACCAGGCAGTTAACATAGGATACGGAAAGCGAACAGTGGTAGTTAACCTAATCTTGTTGTGCCATAGATTTACCCTTAGACGAGTCTCCATATGAAAATGTTGAACGCTTCATGGCTTGTTGACCCTGATCATCAGCGTGAATCCATTGCAGCACGCCGCATTTCGACACCGAGGTATAGTTTGCTGGGGTAAAACATGAAGGGTTACAGGTCTGACACATATGATTAAGTCATCCGGGTTGAGATTATCGCTATACATCAGCACGTCGTAGCAGCGAGAGTAGTTCTATTTTATGGATTCACTTGCGTCACAGGATAAATATAGGGGTGCCCTTAGTCCTCGTTAAACTAACTATCAACCATCTAGAAACTATTCACAATTAAAACGCTTTGAATTGTTTAAAAAATAGGGGTTTGTGAAACAGTTCGCAACGGAATGAAAAGCAAAAATGTTAGACAGCTGTTACCAATTAGTTAATAAAAATGCCTAAAAATACTCTAAACTATTGCAAAACAATAAAATCCATACTTCCGTCTGGAAGATATAAGACCCAATAGAACCGGAGCCATCGACAAGAAAAACGAGATCGGTGGCTTGAACAGGACTGTAAGTAAAACCTTCGAAAGTTGAGCGTTTTGTAAACACGACAAAAGGACTTACCAAACAGTATTAAGTGTACATACTCGTCCCGGAGACAGGTTAGCATTGGACGAAACGTCCACGTAACCTGCAAAGCATTTGCAAGTGTATCCGTCTGGTAACTGAACACAGTCAGCATTCTGGTCGCACGAATTTAACAATTGATCCGAACATTGATTGGCTCCTAAAACAATCAGAAACGATTCTTGTCAATATACTGGATAAAATGTGAAATACAAGCAAACGATGCTGAGATATTCGCCAAACCTGGACCTCGGGCCAGATCGAACCACGATTCCCTTTCCGGGAGCTCGCTTATTACACACTGCATGACTGAGGCCACTGCTTTGCGTTTCTCTCAGCTAGTTTTCTACCTAACGCTGCCATCAGCAATCACCCGTCAGCCGTACAGGGGTCTGATTGGAATATGGAAAGTGTAGGCTTAAAAGGTATCGAATCAAAATCGCTAGGGAAACAAGGCTCTGTAGACCAAATCCAGCTTGCTTAACTTTCATTACTTCCAAACAAACAAACATAACGCAAACTATCAAAAGTACTACTTTGCTTTGTTAACAAGATTTGTGACCACCGTTATTGTATGGGTTCACACAACAAAGGACCACTTGACCATAGCAAACTACGTGCATGAATAAACAATATTAACGACTGAGAGGATGGCGCAACGAAAAACTCGCAGAGTGTGGTAGTGAACGCGTTGGCCCTCAGAAAGAGTAGTAGCGAGTTCGATTGCCACCTCAGACACCTTTGGCCCTAAGGTTTGGAAATATCCCAGCATCGTTGTGGTTCTTCATCGATAAACTAAGATGAAACCATTCTAGGATTTAGTTCTGAAGCGGACAAACTGTGACCTCACTTTCGTTTTGACATAACTATTAACATAAATTGTATTGGTTAATAGCAAAATGGGCAGCTGTGTGCCTTTCCGAGGTAAACAGTGAACATAAGGACAATTCCAGAACCAAAACTGCGATATAACCCCAATTCTGACAGTATGGTCATAATCAAAGCAAAACGAAAAATCAATACTGGCTTTCTACATTGAGTGTGGCGTCACAATTACACCACAATTACACCAAAAGAAACCAATTAATCCAACTAACCAAAAGATTTCTACGAAACGGCGAACATACCCTGGGAGCATTTCCTCCCTGGTCGAAGCTGATATCTTGAAGAGACGTCCGTGTAGCCCATTTTACACTTGCATAGGTAACCCTGTTGCAAATCCACACAATCCGCAAACGGTGAGCAGTCGGCAGATCCATCAGCACATTCATTTCTCACTGGAATTCACGTACCAATCAGTATTATGGAGGAGATAGAAGAAAGAAAGTATCTCAAAGAGGACAGGGTGGATCAAGCGGGAAATCGAGTAACCGGCACTGCGAAAACGCGGAAACATTTCTTGTATCTTCACTTATTTAAAATTTCGTGGAAAAAAAGCCTGGTTCTCATTTAAAATCAGACACTTCGATTTCTTTCAGGAATATATATATATATATATATATATAATAAAGGATAAAGGATAAAGTTCTCGGCAATGATCAATATCCCTGAATAATGCGCCATGCATTCGACTTCATTAAGCATCGTTGAAGATGACTGAATGCATATATGGCCTTTATAATGACCCACAGTGGTCTACCTATGTGTCGAGCCAGTGTTGCTATTCTCCTAAACAAGTCTGGTAAGAATTTGCCGACCCCACAAAGATGGAAGGCTTGGTGGCGCTGGGGCGTAGGAATTGAACCCGTTCGTACTGCCAGGCGCCTCCGACCACTGTATTATATGCGTCCCTCTGAGCTTTGAGAATACCAGGCAAACGTAGATTATTCAGTGATTTTTACAACACCCTCATTGTTCTATTTTTTATTTTCTGCCTACTACAATTTTTACGGTAGGGTACTAAGCGAAATACAACCACAATGTTGCTGAGATATTTGCAAAACTCTGGATCACAGGTGTCTAAGGTGGAGAACGAACGCGCTATTGTCCTTTTCGGGGAGTAACCCGTTCACCACTACACCATGCTGGTCCTTCGTTTCACCTGTCTCTCAGCTAGTTCCATCGATCACTGCCATCAGCAACCAACCGTCAACGGGATTGATCTGAGGAGCCCACATCGGCATTGAACCCAGTTAAGCTGAGGCTGTACGTGGAATCACAATGAACAATAGCGCGTTTGTTTCCCACCTTAGACACCCGTGGTCCAGAGTCTCGGAAATATCTCAGCAAGTTTGTGGTTGTATTTTGTTTAGCACCCTCATTGTTTTGTTAAGTTTTAAAATGTGGACGACATTAAGTACTTAATAGATAACCGAGGTTAATTAAAGTCCAGTGTTCGAAGCAGAATATTCGTAACAAACTATATTTACTGAAGCAGTCAACCAACCTTCTCTGCACTTGCGTCCAGGAAACCGGTATGGATCAGGAGAGATATCGATAAACCCAGTCTGAAATCGTTCAGCCAAACTTCCACAAAGGAAAGTTTTCGAGGGTGGAATGAAATGTATAAAAGTGGGAATTGCATCCTAGAGGAGTACCGTATTCAATCAGAGAAAGGAGACCGGACGGTGGAGATATTAAGTTAAGAGAAACATGATTAAGTTAAGAAAAACATAAAAGACGGGGTGAACATTGAAAGTGGAGACTAAAATAGAAAGAAGCGGTCAGAAATATATTTGACGTGACCTCAATCTAAAGGTGAACGAGAACCCAATTGACAAGACCGTAAGGTGGATCAATACCCTTATGAACACGATTGGAAGGAATTTGAGATGCAGGATCGAAACTACCGTACTACTCTAGACTTCCAGAAACGATTCCCTATAGTCAATAATAACAGCTCTATGCTGTCACTAGTTTTCAGGTTTTATGGCCGAGACATAGGAAAAGTAATCTTGAAGGCCAACAAAACAAAAACCTTAGCTATAACTGTATGGATCAGATGTGAATTAATCGATGAAGACGATGTATGTGTTCAATATCACTAAACAGGTGTTTCAACCTTCAATATCCTCGATATCTTTTCGAATCTATGAGATCTCTAAATGCCTATTGATCAATGAATCACGTTGGTTTGCCAATCAATCAATAGTCATGAAATACCTTGCATTTGCACTTAAGTCCGTCGTAGGCGTTCGAACACAGTGCATTCCTATCGCATTCGTTCGTATGTTCACATTGTGAAAATACTGAAAACCACAATGTCTTCCAAAGAAAAGCACCTCTTAGAGAAAGATGAGAACGCAAAGAAAGAAAGTTCAGGAAAACGGGAAAAAGCAGACATCATGCTTTTCAGTGATATTTTTTCGCTGTAATAAAGCACTGCTCGTCAGTACCTTCCAACGGTTTATTGCCTCATCGTTGCTAGGAGGTCTTCCTGGGTGTCGGACTGCGATCTACAGCGGGGGGATTCATCCCCTTCGCAGGGTCTCCCAAGTTGAAAAGGAGTCTGGCGCTTCCCATTAGGAAGCCTAGCTAATAGTAAACCACTACCAGGATCCGTCGCCATCCTAGTATCAAACTAGTCGTATGGTGGCAAATCACCCTCTGATCCAGAAAGCGGCGACTACCTATTGTGGTGACAACCAGATTTCGGTCTGGCTGACCTCAGGGAAACATAATGATAAACCATCAAAACTCCGAAAAATGGAGATCATGTTGGAACCCGCAGAAACAGGGAGGACGGGCAATCCAAATATCCAAGTGAGTATAGTAAAGTAATTATTAAAAAAATTGAAAAAAGTCAAAAAAAGATGTAAAAGTGACATAACACACCAATCTAAGCGATATAGAAGTGCTATATATAAAAATTTTTAGAGACTTTAAAACTATAAAAATTGTTTTAAAAGGCTAATCTTCGCAATAAGTAGAGAAAGAAAACATCATCAACGAAGGAAATAGGAAGAAATAAACAAACAGTCATATCCTCTTCAACTCTCTACTAAACTTAAATGTGATTTTATCTGAATTCAGTGTCTGCCATAGTGGAATAAATTGCACTGAACTAGAGAACATTTCATCCCAACAGTTTACCGCCTCATCATGGTTAGGAGGTGTTCCTGAGTGGTGGGCTTCGATGAACAGCTGGGGATTTACCCTTACAGCAGGGTTCCCTAAGTCGAGAAACCGTCAGAAGTTTCAATCCGGAAGCCCAGCGAAGAATGAACCATTACCAAGAATCATTACCGTCCTGGTGTCAAACTAGTCGCGTGGTGGAAAATCTCGCTGACCCACAAAGGCAGCGACTGCCTGGGGTGGTGACGACCCAAGGAAGACTTCGGCTAGACTGACCTCGGAACTCCAGTAATCCATAATAGCTAAAAGCGCAAACGTAAGCTATGCTGGGTCCGCACGAAAAGTGAAGACGAACCATCCAAGCATCCAAGTAAGTAGGAAAATTTTCACGTCGTTTTTCCTCCATTTAATCGTTACAGAAAAAAAAACACATTGAAGAACGACTTTTCTTATTTTATTTTATACGACCCGTTTTTTAAAATCTACTGTGCGAATCTCAACACTTCTTATATTCAATTCGTTTCATCGCATCCGTGATCCACGAAATTCTTCCAACTTTTACGAATGGTTTCGGCTGCTGCTTGAGGATTTTCATTTAATCTTGAATGTAGTAGAATGCTGATCGAGTCAATTTTTTCCTGGAGTCCTGAGATAATCGAGCGAGAGTGCTCCCAATTGGATTGCAGAGAGTAATTTCTTCTCGGCTAAGTCCGGGGTTCCGATTCCCTACTCTGGAGGGATGAGAGAGTTGGTGAGCACGGAGTGGCATTGAACCAGCACCATGGTCGTGGTGATCGTTAACACTACCACTGTGCTATCGGCTACCTAAAAAAAGTTTAGTATAAGCAATGTGACTTACGTTTGCATTTTCCATCTGGCTGCTGAATTGCACCGCGCATACACTGGCAGACCGTCTCGCCCCTGGTGTTGTAGAGGCACTCCTCGTTTGGTCCGCACTGCTGGGAATCTCGACACTGAGGCTGTAAAATTATTAAAATACCATTCAAAACCTTTTCCTTTAGATATCTAATTCTTCTCGAGAAAATTTTATAGCTTCGCTACTGTCTAGCTTTAACGCATTCATGACCATGCGCATTGATTTCAATATGTACGCTGTTGTTAGTTTCGGGTCTTACATCTTGATTTCAATGCACATTTCAGTTGCGTGTAGAACTCTGCACTCATCATTTTTGCCCAATGATTCCCCCCACTACCGCGGCTAAATGGTTTGACATCTCAACCAGGTCGGGAACTTTCCACTCATAAGTGACTTAAACGATATGTTCTGAAATATAATGGGCACATAACGTGATAAATTCATTTGAACTATGCAGTTCAGACGTTCAAAATATGCAGTACTGAAAATCGAAAGAAAACTGTGTACAAGGAAAAGCGACACACAAAGGCCTGTAATTTGACTCTTTGATCAAGCGCAATGATTCCAATATGTACGCTACTGTGTGTTTCGGACCGTACATCTGACACCATTCATTTCATTTGCGCTCCTACGACAAGTGGTACGACAAGCCCAGCAGGCGAAAGTGGGAGCCGTAGTGAAATTGTTAAAAGAGGGTATTGTAAAGATCGACGAGTTCTTACTCATCTTTAATGGATTTCCTGTTCTTTCTAGTTCTGTAAATGCAAATCGCTAGTAGTTTGCTTAATTTTTTTTACTACTTTATTCCAAATACTAAGCTTGTCGTTTTGTCGATATCGATCTGTTCTCTAGTGATGAATGAACGAAATTTTAGATGTAAAAGTCAAGCTATTACTTATTTGTAGACGTCACACGTTAATTTTTGCAAAGATTCGTATGAGAGCAACCTGTCGGCTGATCTGTCCGTAGTGCTCAGGAGTCTTCGGGCGATTGCACACACGACCTGGATAATGTGTGACATCCGGAGACGCATCCACGAATCCTGGTCGACACCTATAATACATGAGATCTTATCATGGAAAAAACGCCAAATGTGTATTTTCCATGAGTGCAATCCTAACAAAGAACAATGCGCATTGATTTCAACGCGTTTACTCCGCCGCGTAAGGTTTTCGCTAGTATTTTTGCACCCAATCAATAACTTCCTCGGTATAAATGTTATGACGGGCGTAGTCTGAGAACAGCTATCTTCTACACTCTGTAACTTTGAATAACTGCTTTCAAAAGAGTTTGTCTCTAAAGTCAAAGAGAATTCCTGATGAGGGAGGGTACAGGGATGACTACACTGGCAAGACTATTAAAGATGAGGAGAGTATTAAGATGTTGAAAAAACGTGAGTCCTGCGGCGATTAATTACCTTTTGTTACACCTACAGAATTGCACAAAAAACTAAAATCATGAAAAAGAATAAAGAGGGTACTCAGATCTTCTTTTGCGCTGAAGGATACAATGGAAAACGCGCATTGATTTCAATGCAGCCCGTTATCAATGGAAAATCCAACATCGTCCTACGTACTTTCTTTTTAATTCCTATGTTTCTTACGCTCTATATATCATCGAAATTCTTCTAACTCTACTCTGCTGTTCTTTGGAACATTTCTATATTATTGTGTGTGACCAAAAAGTTCGTCCACCATCGAACCACGTTGCTTTCATCCTTCAGTAGTCGGTTTCATATAATATGTTAAGTATATTTCAGCATTATTACATCCACTTAAATCTGAGCGCTTTGAAGTTCAGAACCCGTAAATATTTCCAAAGATGCACCGTGGGAAAGAACAGTGATCAGCAGCATTTCATGTTCGCGACGAAATATCTTAGTATTCTCCCCGCCAGGACATTCCCTGTACTCAGAAATATCTTAATACGCCTTAAACTAGCAGTACTCTTGCCTTTGAGCAAACAAACTTATACTGAAGGCTTTTTTTTTGTAAAATGAAGTGCATAGAGAAGAGCTTTCCTTGGCCAATGCTTGGTACATTATTCGTGGTGTGGGAGATGTCGATCGAATACAAAAAACATAGCAAAAGTGTTTGTGCGGCAAAGTAAACGTCTGAAATAATATGAGTGAAAGTTAACTCACATCGGCTGTAGGTGTTAGAGTTAGTCCAAAACAAGTTTTAATTCATCGACAAGCTCCATATCGTTATTTCTTATTTTGTTACCACGAAAACCTCGTCTTTATCACCACTGTTAACTCTTTGTCCAAATATTTGAAATTGAACTTTCTAACTTCTTCGACACCATTAATTTTATTATATCAGTGCTAATTAGCGCTCTTCTTAGCTTTATTTTCATTACTTAGTTTAAGAACTCACTTGCACTCATAACCTTCAGCTCGGTCAAAACAGTCCGCGTTTGAAGAGCAATCTGCCTTTCCACTACTGCACTCGTTTACCACCTCTATACACTAAAATTTAAAAGAATTTTTAAGTGAACAAGGACACCAACCAAAGTTACGTTAATGTTGGACTTGAAAAAATTAACTCGAGATCATGTGATGAATTGCAGCAATGTAGGTAGTTCAACAAGCATCTGCATATGTGTTCTTTCTTGATAAGCTTACACGAGGTTGATAAATATATTTATTTTCGGCTAACGTTTCGACGTCTTCGTCTTCCTCAGAGCCGGTGATCCGAGTCGATGGTCCATGCTTGTTGTTCGCCTCGACGTTGCGTCTTCGCCTTCGTGTCGAGCCAGATCTTCCTCAGTGAGCCATCTTCTCGATTGAGGCATCCTCACTCAGTGATGCCCTTTTATACACGATGCTGATGGTGGATATATAATGACAATGTCCGGTGGTAACAACTTGTATTTCTTCCGGACATACAAAAAAAGCATCTGCATAGTTCTAATTCTATTGGGCGTACTGCTCGCAAGGTTACACAGCGCGTCGTCAAATGGCAGATAGAGATCAAACGCGGACCAAAAGCGACGGTGCGTTCTTACATCTTACACGTTTTACACGAAACCCAAATGGACTTAGGATATAAAAACCATGATTCCGCCATACCAGGTTGAGCGGCGTATTCTGTATGCACATAACTGGGTGGGTGTCCCTATGAATCCATGGATTGTATTCTGCGAGTCGGTTCTGTCAAAGGCCAGCAAATGAATGAGAGTGAATGCAAAAGAAGTCTGCTTGGGATCGAATTCAAGAAGTCACTGTGATTCTATATTCGGAGAGTTCTGCAAAGTATCCGCAATCACGCTCAACCACGGTAGGAACCGGTAAGCTATGTATAGGTATCTCATGGACGACAAAAATCTGCTCAGGAAAACCGCTGATACGCAGTGTGGAGAAGAGCTCTTAATAATAATTGTTGAGGTCGTCTATGTCATTATGTGTGTCCATCATAAAAGCCTTTGTATTCGCTAACAATTTACTTACAAAAAGCACCTGTCCAAACTTTCGAACTGCATTGAACATGTGTCAACTGTGTCTCATTAGATTAAAAACACAAGATATAAGCTCTTTAGGAAGTACTGGTGTTGTTTAGAAATGCAGACCTTCCTTCCCGGCAACCTGCTAAGAGAAGACGAAATGTCGGCAAATCCAGGCTGACAAACACACTGAAATCCTTCCGGGGTGTCTACACAGGCTGCGTTTGGATCACAATCAACTCCATATCTAAAAGAAACAGAGGAATAATTATTACAGTACGTTAAAATATTGCCTATGTGTTCTGGAGAATTTATGTGCAACATTAGAAATCGAGTATGATAAACGAAAATTTTCGTTGGGAACTATCGTCTCGTTTCTCCAAAAGTGTTCTGGATTCAGATTTATGATTGTTCTCTGATTTCCATCACTATGTAAAGACTTCCTTTCATCTAAGTGTTTCCATTTCACGTGTCTTCAGTTAGAGGAAGAATCTCTACACTTACGTCTGCCTCTGTCCGCATTCATTATTGGTTTTCTTGCAGATTCTTCCCGGTTTGTAGACGCGATCCGTCGAAACGTCTGCGAATCCCGGTTTGCATTCACATGTGTAACCAGCTTCCTAAAATCATTTCCGATGTGAACTTTTAAATAGAAGTGAAGAATACTATATATTGACTAGCTTACCATGTCGATGCATCTGGCATCTTTGTGACAGGAATTTAATGACGGACGAGCACATTCGTCTACGGACAGGCATCGACCGTCGGGAAGGCGTCTTATTCCCGTTGGACATTCACACTGGTACCGACCGTTGGAGAAAACGCAGACCTATAAGATGAGAATGTTGGTAGAAGCGAAAATCTCGACGTCTATGAGCTTCATAAAGCCGTCTCGTTTTTTTTGTCGTCCCATTTCTATGGAGAACTCTATGCCTATGGAACACGTTCGTATACCGTGATTTTCTTCGAGTACCGCTGGCTCGATCTAACCTCACTACCTTTAAGACAGAGAACCTAACCTGTTTTAAAATCCTTCTATAAAGGTTTTATCGCTTTGCAACTCGATTACATAAATACTTGTAGTAGTCGTCAGATGTTTTAAGTATTTGTCTGACGACAAGTACGTGTACTTGGGCAACAGTTTGTAAATCGTTCGATTCGAAAATAACTTCGTGAAGAAGCACATGAATGCCTAATGACGAGCTACTTGGACATGGACAACAGTTTTAAAATTGCTTTATGCTAACATAACTTCTAGAAATTCCACACAGACGGATTAACGAAGTCATACCTCGTGTTTGGCTTGATCACAGGACAAGGGATCGTTGACACGACACTGAAGAGTGGCTGAAAATCCCTTATATGACAAAATGAGAAGACAGGCGAAATCCACACCATTCTGCTTATGGAGTGCAAACTGGTTGGGTAGATATAATCTAGCAACTGCATATAATGTAAAACTGCATAGATGGTGACATTACAATGATCAGAACTTTATCATTGAGTCGTTACCACCACTGACAACGATGGTGGCGGTTCTGTATCCCAATCAAATACTAATCCCTTCCATGCCTCTTCATTCTCTTCCATATTAACCAACTTAATTCGAAGCTGGATATTGAATAAGTGGTCAAAGTGTCTAGCGGTTATGGTTGCCAATAATATGGTACTTCACAAATAACACCAACAGTGCCACGATGCTTTTTACAAAAGTTGAAGGTAACTGCTAAGTGTGCTGTTAGTTCTGTACTCCGTACTCCACACGAGTATTGCATTCTGTCAAGAGATTGAGCGGATTATGCACATAATAATAGCCTCTATCTAGTCAATCGTGCGACATTTGCTGCGACATTGAGTAAACCAATCGTGGTGGCCACGAAACCCGCACTCTTAAGGTAAATGGTGTTATGGAAGCCAGAGCCATTCTGATCACGGCGATCACTTTAGGGTTTTCCCACCCGGGTTTCAAGCTACTTGAATAGGTATTGTTCGGCCTTACCGAAACTGTTATTTAAAGTACTTTGTTAGATAAGAACTATCAAAGACACTTGATTTCCTCAGAAATGATCGCTGAAGACAATTTCTTCTTGGGTTCTGATTAGAGCGAAAAATCTTGAAATAAAATCGACTTATTGGCGTCCATATAATAGCATGTCTCATAGCAGAATGACCTTTGAAGATATCGTAACCTTCGCTTTATGACCAACAAATGTCGGTAAGACAACCAATGAATTGTGTGGGTTGCGCTGAAGATTTGTTAGGTTCGATGACCTTGCGGAGTTAAAACGTTCGAAAATGGTGAAATGAAAAATTACAGAAACGTAATGGATACCGTCAAGGTTAACAAGGGGTGTGGTTGACTTTGGGCACTTTCTCAATATCGACTGTAATTGGTTAGACGTTTGCATTTGCAGATTGTAACGAGCAGAATGAGATACATGATTCGATGAACATACAGTATGTCTGTGGAGTATTGTAGGACTTCACGTGACACAGTGTCAACAGGAGAACCAACAGGGCTATGGCCATAGCCATAGAGGGCTGGATGATGACGCTGAAAAAAACCATACCTGATGAGGACAGATAAATTAACGGACGGCGCACTTATAAAATGACGATAAAGGTCAAGCGCGGTTTCAATAGATCGATTGAGAAAGAGTAAAACGTAAAAGAGAACACCGTCAATAATGTGGTCAAAGAGAAGGTTGACAAGAGACCATTAATGAAGGACAATTATTCATATAATATGATAATATTTCAGATATTCGTAGTGTTTTGAAATGAATCGTGAAATGGAGAAGCTTTCGGCATCGATAAATCTCTAAATGATGGGCCACACTTTCAACCTCAACAAGCACCGTTAAAAGGGATCTAATGTATATATCTGACCTACACAATGATTTACGGTAACTCACTGACGCATCCAGTAGTTCTGTTATCTTTTCAGACAGGTCTGGTATCCATTTGCCAAGTCCTGAGGGATGGAAGGCGTTATGAATCCTGGGCGCGGTATCGGACCAAAAACCACGTGTCTATTGCTGGGCACCGCTTACCACTGTGCTACATGCGAAGTAAATGCTAAGATATGAAATGAATAACTGTAGTTCCAGTGAATGTTTCCATTATTATTGCCTTTCTCCAAAATGATTTCGATGAGCTGATATGAGCTTTTGTGTCATTATCTGGTTAATTTGCTTTCTATTTCCCTTATTCAGTAGAAAATTTTTATATAATCCATAAAGTCTTAAGGCCTGAAGTTAATTCTGTGTTATCATGTGTTTCAGGGACGGTCTTCTAAAAGTCAAAGTCAAAAGGACACATTACGCTTCCATGTTATTTCTGTGCGGTTGGTCTTCACGCGACATACTTAGTGAAAACCTCATAAAAAGCGGTGAGTGTGCAAAGCTGTGTTCGATGTGATTGAAATCTTGGTTTAGAGTTTCTTCGTTTGGTTACGGAGGTGTTTGGCCGAATAGATTGCTGTCAACTTGACCTTTCCCGGCTCTGAGGAAGGCGAAATCCGCCGAAACGTCAGCTTGTACGTAAATAAAGAATAAAAGCAACACCTCGCGTTTACTCAACAAGAATACGAAGATTTACTTGATCAATGCCGAGGTTAATAGAAAGTCGGTCGTGGGAGTCCTCTCAGCTCCCTGTTATGCATAAGAGGCGGGAGCTAATACCTCAGCCACGTCAAGAAATCTGCGCACTGCCCACGTAGCGCTTGAACGATGCCTTCTGGATGATAACTGACACTCATAACGTCTAGCCGGAATGGGCAGCTCAAACCTTCGAAACGTATCACATCTTCAGGATCCAGGAGAATATACAACGATAGTGAAGTACAGATGGATCAGTCACAAAAAGTAGAATGTATGAGGAACGACGAAAAAAACAATGGAGTAAATCACAGATGGATTGTCAACAAAAAAGTAAAACGTATGAGAGACGAGGAAAGGAACAATTGAGTGAACTGCAATAGAACGCAAGCGTCTTGTTGGGCAACCATCCAAACGACGGGTGGACGTGTTCGTGGCTAACATCAACCACCTGCATTCACAGGTGGGAACAATTGGAGGAGTACGGGATATGCTTAGAGAACGTCATCATATTCCAAACAGACCATCACCATAGACGACAATTGAGCGAGAAAGAAACGAATTAAAAATATGCTAGGACCCGCACAACTAGACGGGCTATTCAGGTATCCAAGTGAAGTAAGTGTATAATATATATAGGATAAAAAATAGAATATCACAATTAACTTACCATTGCATTCTTGATTTAAAATCTTTCAGAAAGATAGACTTTAACATAAAAATAAACAAAAAATTAGCTCAATATAGGTCAATTACACAGCTGAGAGGCAGGCGAAACGACGGACTCACATGGTGTGGTGGTGGCGAACGCGTTAGCTCTCGGAAAGAGTAATAGCGCGTTCGTTCCCCACTGCAGACATCTGTGGTCCCGAGTTTTCAAAATATTTCAGCATCATTGTGGTTACATATATATATTCACCGGAATCTCGATTTTTATTCTGAAATTGGTCAACTAAAAAAGGTAACGTCGTATTTCAGGAGAAACCAAAATTAGTCGTAAGGAGAAAGATCACTGTCGTAAGGTTAAAACAAACTAAATCCTTCTTCAATGTACGTTTTCAAGAATTACGACTTTCTTTTAAAAACCATGCCTCTACGCATAAGACTTCTTCTGGATTTAAATGAAAATATTTCCACGTGTATACAAACCGATGATATAAATTTTTTAGTGGTTACAGAAACATTCACAAGCTTAGCACTTCTGATGTCAGAATGGTCCAAACGTTATCGACATGACTCTCAGCAATCGAATGCTTCTTCACAGTCAAAAATAGTCTGAGCAGGTTTGAAACCCAAATTATCAAAGAGTAGTAGAAAAATAGAGAAAAAAGCAAATAGCAGTGCCGAAAAAACAACAAAAAACGTCATGGAAATATATGGAAATATACTGTGAAAAAACATTGTTTTTACATGACCGGTTTTCCCATCTACTGTGCTGGTCCCAGCATTACCTGTATTCGATTCGTTTTCCTCTCTCATCCATGAAGGCCTTCCAATTTTTGTATATTGGTTCTATTGCTGCTTCGAAATATTCCTTTCGTCAGGAATGACGTTAAATGCTGGTTGGCTCAACTCTATCTGGAGCCTTGAGATAGCTGCGCTAGAGCGCTCCTACTAGGATTTCAGAAGTGAACTTTTTCCAGACAAGTCTGATACCAATTTCGGGACTCCGTAGGGATAAGTGGTTTGGTGGGTCAGAGCGGGTTCGATTCAGCATCGTGCTCACGATGGTTGGCATCAGTATCACTACTCTATCTGTCCCTGAACATATTTAACACATTATCTATTAAAAATGTAGAAATGACAAACTATTAAAAGTATTAACGTGTTATGAAAATATCAACAGCTTTTCAAGCACAGGTTTCCATCGAAGTGTATGATTCCGATTATTTGAATTTTGAAAATTTAAAGAGAGTATCAGATAGACAATGGTCAAACAATGTCAGGAAAACGCGGGACATCCATAATCAGACAGTGCTATGATGGATTCTGCAGTTCTAGTGTCGCCTTATAGCGTATTCTAGTGATAACTGCTTATTTACTCGTTACCCCATCCCCCTTTAAAGTAGTTGACGACTATTGAAGTGAATAGACTTTTTCAAACAGGTACACTAACTCTATGAGCGGTTTCGATAACTGTTCTAAGATCGTAATCGACCTTTATACTACCCATTAGTATCAATGTACCATTGAGCATACTTACTCGTCTTGTGAGAGAACACCACTCCCTGAATGTCTTATCTTTACAAGCAACAAGTTTCCGAGTTTTTTAGTCGTGTACCGCTTCCTCTTAGTTCTCTTGCATTAGAATAATTATCACCTTTACCCTAAAATATGTCGCGGGAAGACCAGCCGCACATAATTCACATGGAAGCGTAATGTGCCCCTCCCCATCAGAATAACAATCTTATATACTGCTAAAATAACACGCGTGATATTACGTATCAAGTTCACCCGAGAGAAACCGAAAGAAAATGCGAAGTGAAAAGAAAGTGTTAAGCAAAAATCATCATTTTTCCAGAAAATGTCTTTGACGAGCTTGTTAAGCTGTGTGAGTAGGTTGTGAGAATGTTTTTTGTAAGTTCTCAGTAGTCAATGTTTCAGCAGCTTTTCTTCTCTTAGAACCTAAAAGGGTGCCTTTCATTATGTAGACATCTTTGGTGAAACAGTTTTCTGACTATCGTTGTTCTATAGAAGTGAACTGTAAGAGATCAAATGATTGTCACTAAGACAAAAGATCGACCTAGCTCGACAGTCAATACACTTTCTCCGCCACTGTCTAAAACACCGAGTCGTCCCGAACTTCACCAAACAAAAACGACTACACGATGTATGCGGACTACCAGAGGACAGTCACCGAGTACTGGATA